GATGTCGTCCAGGTACACCACCACGCACTCGTCCAAAAGTGGCCGTAGAATGTGGTTCATTTCAGCTTGAAACGTTGCTGGTGCGTTGGTGAGTCCGAACGGCATTACCAAATACTCGCACGATCCGTACCGAGTTCGGAAAGCAGTTTTTTGGATAGAGTTGTCCGCCATTCCTATATGCCAGTATCCGAACCGCATATCCAGTTTGGAAAATACCGTAGCTCCCCGAAGCTGGTCAAGCAGGTCATCGATTCGCGGTATCGGGTATTTATTCTTGATTGTCTGCTTGTTAAGAGCTCGGTAGTCGATGCACATGCGCAGGCTTCCGTCCGGTTTGGGTGTGAAGAGTACTGGGGCACCGTATGGCGAATTGGATGGCCGGATGAGTCCTTTGGCTAGGAGATACTCGATCTGTTTTTTCATGTCGGTCAGCTCCGTAGGGCTGAGCCGGTATGGTGCTCGGAAGGTCGGCTTCGAACCCGGTTCCTCGACGATCTCGTGTTGATGCGTTCGGTATGGCAGTAGCTCGTTCGGAAGATCGTCAGGAAGAATGTCTTGGAACTCCTTCAGTAAGTCCTTGATTTTTTTTTGAGGTTCCGAGGCTTTCTCTCCGTCATTCTCCAGCTCTGTTGCTATCGCCAGGAACCCGGTATCGGTTCGCTTCACGTCCTTCTCGAATCTGGCGAGTGTCTCCACTGGGATATCTCCTGTATCGTCCCAGTTGGGTAGCTGTACTCTCTGTCCATTGTTGTAGATGCTTGCGGTGCGGTTCACCCAGTTGATCTCGGGGTTGAATCTTTTCAGGAAGTCCCGCCCGAAGATCAAGTCAAGCCCTTTGATGTTGGTGATGGGGAGTGCAGCTCTCCAGCGCAGTGGCCCGATTTGTAGGTGTAGCACTGCTTCACCGTACACTGGTAACTTGTTGCCGTCCACCATCGTTGCAGAGAATCCTGAAGACTTGTACTCTTCCCGAAGTCGGTCGATTACTGCCTTGTTGCAGACGGTGTGTGATGCTCCGCTGTCCACGAGTGCTTGGAGGCGTCGTCCTTTGCAGATGACCTCGAGCACGAGGGGCAGGCATTGCTCGGAGTACCCAAAGATAGTCTCATTGATTGGGTCATAGGGTATATCCCAATATTCCGTACACACCTTTGTGTTGCTATCTACTCCTGAGCTGGCAGCTGGCCGAGGCTGCTTGGAGAACGGCTCTTCTCCAGGGCCCAGAGTTTCTTTGACGACTGTGCGCATCATTGATGCCGAAGAACTGGATGCATCCCTAGGAGGAGTTCGGGGTTTGTGCAGCTTCTTGTAGACCCCCAGCTTCCTCTTGAGCTGCCTCAGCTCCACCGACGTCTTCCCTGGGGAACGGGTGGTCGTTGTGGGCTGGTGTCGGGAGAGGACGTTGACTCCGTGGAAAGGTCGGCTTCTTTCCACACTCCTTAATTTGGTCCCCAAGTTCTTCGGTACCGGTATAATCTCCACAGCTGTCTGCTTCTTTTGGAGTCCCTCCCGAAATTTCTCCAAGGCTCTAGCTCCTCGAAAATCATAAGTTTTCATTAAAGCATCTTTATAAGATAACTTTAACGAATCCTTATAATTTCTCGGGTCTTCAAGGAGTTTCCCTATCTCGGCAGATTCTTTTTTCGCGGAGTCGTATTTTTCCTCGGCGATTTTCCCTGGCGAAGACTGGTCGTGGGGTGGAGATTTTCCCCCATCATTTCCTCCTTCTCGCGTCGAATCAGCTTCGTCGAAGTTGATTTTCCCGGAATCCCGCGGCCGCTTACGGATCTTTTTTTTTTCGCCAGCTAGATCCGCAATCACTGGCGAGTCCCGTTTTTTTGCTTCTGATTGGCCGAAGGATTTCCGCCACTGTTGCGTGCCCGATACTCTGCGCATGCGGTTTTCATTTTGTTGCAGTCAAAGATTCGATGACCCGGCACCCCGCAAAAATCACACGTGTAGTTGGTGTTTTTCGGACGTGGCCGCCCCGCGAATGTGTCGACAACCATCGGGTCGGCGAACGTGGGGTGAGCCGAGCGGTAGCCCTGTCGCGTACTGCCGACGTGCGTCCATCGTGTCCCGGCGTTGACCGTGTCGAAGCGCTCCGCGGCCGATACGACGTCACTGTAGCTCGCGTAGTTTGACGCTGCCACTTGTCGTTTGACTTCGGTCTTTAGCCCGGCGAGGAACGACTGTACTTTTTCCCCTTCGGTCAGGTCGGGAATGCGGTTATAAATTCCTCCATCTGTTGCGTGTACAGTGCTACACTCCCGAACTGTCGATGGCGATGAATTTTTTCCCGGGCAAGGAAACTCGAATTTATCGGCTCGAATCGTTTCAGCAGGTCGGCGCGAAACTGCTGCCACGTGGCTTCACCGTCGATGAAGGTACTGTTGCCGCCAATCCACTCGAGTGCCGTACCTCGCATCAGTGTCGCTACGAGTCGTACGCGTTGACCGTCCCAGCCTGGCGAGCTCCATCCGACGGCTGCGAAGTAGATCTCAATGCTGGCGATCCATCTGCGGACGTCGGAGTTTCGATCGCTCGGATCGAACGGCTCAGGTGGGCGCGGTTTTGGAGCCTCGAGAAACTGCTGCGACTGCTGCGTCGTCGCCGTTGTCGAGTCGTGTTGCGCTCCGGCGAGTCGAGTTACTCGCTCGAACTCGTTTCGCCACGCTTCGCGGTCCGCTCGCATCTCCTCCTGAAGGGCTGCGATGCCCGCGAAGAGCTGCTGGGTAACCTCGGCGTTGTCGAGGTTCGCCATCCTGTTCAAAAACACGCGCAGAGGGGGCAATTCGAAAAAACGCGGAGCTGGTGCTTACCAGAATCGGCGTCAAATTGGTCGCCCCCGGCGGTTTTTCGAGGCAGGATCCCCGCTGCTGCTTAGTTGAGCGCGGCCGAGTGAGAAAAGCTCTGATTACCAAGTGTCACAGGATCGAATGACTCGAGGAAAGGTTGCACTATCGATCAGTACAAGGCGCTTTTATACTTCCAAGGTACATCAGGTAACCAGGTTTATCCTATCCTAAGGGAATAAACCCTTCTAGAAGATAGAATCACCCTGCGTATAGCCACGCGAGGCTATTGGCTTTAAGGGATTACGGCAGGATTACGCCAGATAGCGCACCAGTACATCCCAAGCCTGGTCGGTGATATAATTATAATAGTAGGATAAACCAAAGGTTAATGTAAAATGGAGAATAGGAAACCAAATGAGATGAGATAAAAAGAGAAATGAAAGAGAAAGGAAATAAGAAAAGGGACAAGTGGTGTAACGGGGTCGTAATCTCCCACAACCCTTCTACTCCGGGCATTTCGGAGTCGACAAAACCATGAAGATGTTGCAGCGAAATTATTATTGGCCGAACATGGCCGACGATGTGCGCTAGTACGTGTCCTCTTGCATCGCCTGCCAGATCATGAAATCATCCAATCAGCGAGCAGCCGGACTCTTGCAGCCGTTGGATCCGCCTGAGAGACCCTGGGAACATGTCATGATGGACTGTGTGACAGGACTGCCGGCCGGTCCCAGCGGAAATGACGCCATCCTCGTGGTCGTTGATCAACGCACGAAAATGGCGCACTTCATCGCCTGCCAACATAAAATTGCAGCTAAGCAAGCTGCCCAACTGTTCATCGCCAACGTCATCAGACTGCACGGACTGCTAACCGCCATTCTTTTAGACCGAGACCCGAAATTCACATCGAATTTCTGGCGCCACCTGTGGGACCAATTTGACACCAAACTTCAGTTTCCCTCTGCCTATCACCCACAGACCGACGGGCAGACCGAACGAGTCAACCAAACTATGGAGCAACTCATTCGGACTACGTGCACTAACCCCCAGACATGGGCGGAATCCCTTCCGCTGCTGGAATTCGCGTATAATAACGCGCCTTCCGCCACAACTCATCAATCCCCGTTTTTCCTCAATTACGGATAGGACCCAGTGGTACCCTCTACACCAAACATCGAGACACCCGTGCCCCGATCCCAGAGATTTGCCGAAGACATCCTCGCAGCCCGAGAAAAAGCAGGTGAGGCAATCCGGGAAGCCAACCTGGTCGCAAGCCGACAAGTCGATCGTCATCGACGTGACGACACTCGCAATTTGCGCCTGCCGATCCCGAGCAAACTCCTACCCCGCTTCTGTGGCCTTTTTCAATGTCGAGGGTTTGACGCGAGACTTGAGGGCTGAGGCTGCGGACGCGCATAGTTCACGATACTCGCTGTGGCGAAACCTATTAATGATTCATGAAATTCTTACACTAATCATGAAAGAGAACCTATGAACACTAGAAACTACTAGACATTGCTTGACACATTATATTAATAGTACGCATGGAAACTACACATTCATAGCATCTAATCCATTTATTTAAGATAATCATTTTTCCATGGAATAAAAAATGTAACATTACTACTAAAACACTAAAAATCCATGGTATACATAATGAGACTGTTATATGAGATTAATTATGATATGTGTGGCGTAACATTTGAGCCTAAGCGCACCTGCGAAATACTCTGTATCAGATGTTCTTCTTCGCGACTTTTGCAAGGGCGTGTACGATACACGTGGGGGCAGTTCGGAAACGTTGAAAGTAACGGTTACCAGGTAGGGAATCTGCCGAGTACAAATTGGTACCATGTAGGGATAATTGGTACCACGCTGGGACCAAGTCGATCTGATGGTTACCGTGAAGCCACGTATGTGCCTGCTGACGTCATCACCTCGGATGTTGGTTACCCGGGAGATAAACACCCAATCAGACAGACCCAATTTTAGAGCGACCTAACACTTCACCACCCGCCAAAACGCCCATCAGTCGTCGAATCATTTGGTCGCACACAATCGTTGGTTTGTTTTTTCGCCGTCATGTCAGCGTGAAAGGAAACTGGGTGTTTGACACGTGCTTCGAGCAGCTGGGTCTCCAGGGAACAAGTCTTGGATGCGGATTCGTGGTCACACAGGCATAGGATACTACGCAATTCCTACTGCCAGGAGGATTCTACAGCGCCTAGGATTTGACGTAGGATTTTACGGCTCTAAGACACTCTGGTTTCCCGTCTGGCACTGCTAGATTCGCCGTTCCTCGCGTCTCGCCTGTCGCTCATTCGACTGCGTTTCTTTCCCGCAACTGAGTTCATTTCCTGACCTCCGATTTTCCCTCGTCTCTGCTGGCTTGCGTCGAACAGTTTTCGGATCAGGAGCTCCGAGGCCGGATTCTTCTCGCGTTCATAGTTCGCTCGACGAATTCCCCGTAGCACGCGTTTATCCTCTCTCCTTCCACCTGTGGATAGGTCATAGTCGTGCAGCTGTCGTTTATAGCAGTAGCAGCTGTCGTTTATAGCAATAGCAGCTATCGATTAGAGCAACCGCAGCTGCTTCTTACTAAATCGCGGCTGTCGCCTACTGGAAGCCGCAGCTCAGCTGGGTTAACAATGGCTTTCGGCGAGATTTTAGGCGCGTCGCTGGAGGTCCCTCGAGTGACGTCAACCCTGCGAGTGCTGGTGCGCGATGGCGGCCGTCCCTTCGACGTGGATCAGCAGCTGCTGCAGCGGAAGCAGGCACTCGCGCTGCGAAGGTATGCGAAAGGATGGTTACCAGATGGTAGGCTCGTTGTCGGTGACCTCAATGCCGCGAGGGCTGGTAAGGGATGGCGGCCAGCCCTTCGACGTTAATCAGCAGCTGTTGCAGCGAAGCAGGCCCTGGCGTTACGAGGGTAGGGTACGAACGATAGTTACTACCAGGTAGTAGTCGTTTTTTATAATTCACAAAAATGACTCACTGTAGAGGGTACGAACGATAGTACTACCAGGTACTACTCGCGTTGCTGCTGGTCACGTTACCGGTCCGAGTGCGGCTGAGGGATGGCGGCCGTCCATTCGACGTGGACCCACAGCTGCTGCTGCAGCTCAGGCAGGCTCACACTGTTGTGTTGTGTTCTTTTTTTCTTTTTCTTTTTTTTGCCACGTCACTCACGTCATTGATTTTAGACATCCTAAATTTCTCTTCCCCGTACTCCCATGGGCCATGCCCCCCTTCTCTGTTTTCCTAAGCAGCCCAGCTGGCGCTACGTCAGCAGACGCACGCCACGTGGCACCAGCGGTGGGTGCTACGTCACTGGCGCAGCGACTGGTGCCTGAGTGGGAGAAAGGTGATCTGTTGCCGGGTACTGGCGAGGCATGCCGCAGTGGGAATTGAGAGTATATTTTCAAAGAAATAATGTGTTTGAAAAAACTGTCATAGGGATGTTGGAGGTGGGTTGTGGAGGTGCCTTGTTGCTAACTTGGTGTGCACACATTAGGTGCGAACAGAAGGCATGAGGCATGAGGCATGAGGCATGAGGCATGCGGCATGAGGCATGAGGCATGGGGCATGAGGCATGGGGCATGAGGCATGGGGCATGAGGCATGAGGCATGGGGCATGAGGCATGGGGCATGAGGCATGGGGCATGAGGCATGAGGCATGATGCATGAGGCATGATGCATGAGGCATGAGGCATGAGGCATGATGCATGAGGCATGATGCATGAGGCATGAGGCATGAGGCATGAGGCATGAGGCATGCGGCATGAGGCATGAGGCATGCGGCATGAGGCATGAGGCATGGGGCATGAGGCATGGGGCATGAGGCATGAGGCATGAGGCATGAGGCATGGGGCATGAGGCATGGGGCATGAGGCATGAGGCATGAGGCATGATGCATGAGGCATGAGGCATGATGCATGAGGCATGATGCATGAGGCATGAGGCATGATGCATGAGGCATGATGCATGAGGCATGAGGCATGCGGCATGAGGCATGAGGCAAGAGGCATGAGGCATGAGGCATGAGGCATGATGCATGAGGCATGAGGCATGATGCATGAGGCATGAGGCATGAGGCATGATGCATGAGGCATGATGCATGAGGCATGAGGCATGATGCATGAGGCATGAGGCATGTGGCATGAGGCATGAGGCATGAGGCATGAGGCATGAGGCATGAGGCATGAGGCATGAGGCATGAGGCATGCGGCATGAGGCATGAGGCAAGAGGCATGAGGCATGAGGCATGAGGCATGAAGCATCACCCCATCCCCAGCGTCCCATCCCTTTCTTTCTCCCTCCTTCCCCCCCTTCGCCCGCCTCCCCCCCCTCACACACCAGCCCCTGCCAGTGTGCGGGACGCATACGAGTCGTTCCTGGTCGCCGTCCAATCACTGCTCGCCACAGAGCTGCCCTCTGCCGACCTGCATGAGGCGGCAGGAGTGGCGTTTGACTGCATTGACCAGCAGCTGGGGGCGAGAAGAGCGGAGAAGGGAGAAAAGGAGGGAGGCGAGGCAAGCGGTGGTCTTGCCGCGGCCCTGAGTGAAGCGGATTCGCTCTCGGATTCGGACCTCGGCAGTATCAGGTGTGCGCTCTCCTGTTGATTGACCAGGCCTTGTCTCGCACAGGTGCGTGTTGTTGCTGCTGTCTTGTTTGCTACGGAGCTGCTCTTGGCTGATCTGCATGAGGCGGCAGGCATGGTGTACTTCATCCCTCAACTGAAGGTGCACACCTCTTACGCCTTCATTCCCTTTCCTGTTCATCCCGTTTCCTGTGCATCCCCTCTCCGATTCTCCCTCTTGCTCTCATCTCCCCACCCTCCTTGGCCTTATCCCCGGACCTATCCCATGTGAGTCGACTCAAAGCAGATCCCTGCATCTATCCCTTCTCATCGAGCCATCTTGCTCGCACTCCAGCTGTTCGCGTGGCAGCACAGCGCACCCATGACCCTTCATGTTCCCCCATCACCACACCACACTGGTCCCCCTTCATGTGCTCGGTTCGGTTCTCCCTGTTTTTGCATCTCCCCATCACGAAACTCCCATCTCCCCCTCTTGCCTCCCCCCTCCAGGTCTCACCTTTCCACCCTCCTCGGCCATACCTCCCCAGACCTCGCTCTCCTCCGTCGAGCCATCTCCCTCACACTCCAGCTTCTCTCCTGGCAGCGCACCCACCACACCAAACCGCACCACCACCACCAGAACCGCTCTGCACCACACCAAGAACCCATGTTTGGGTCAGATCTACCCTTCCAGGTGCCTGCTGCTGGTTTGGACGGCAACCAGCTGCTGCAGCAGTTCTGGGAGGAGGTCAGAGCCCGCACACAGGCGCGGGCTCAGGTGGACTCTCAGGTGGACTCTCAGGTGGAAGCTCAGGTGGCAGCTCAGGTGGATTATCAGGTGCCAGTTCCGGTGCCGGCCCAGGCGCAGGAACAGGTGCGAGAACACATTCTAACAGGTGCTGATGGTGGTGCTGGTGGTGGCAGCAAGGAGGGCGAGGAGGGGCCGCGTGACTTGCGCTGGCTGCACCAGTCGTGTGTGCAGGCGGCCCAGTGGGGGGGAGGGGCGCAGCTCACTGCAGACGAGCTGTCCCTGGCTGTGCTCAAGCTGATGCAGTCGCCTGGCTCAGGAGATGAGGTACGATTGGAGGAGTGTATGCATGTGCTAAAGGTAAGTCGTGTGTGGCAGACGAGCTGTCCCTGGCTGTGCTCAAGCTCATGCAGTCGCCTGGCTCAGGAGATGAGGGAAGAAGGAAGGGGGGTGCGTGCGTGTGCTAGGGGTGGGATGTATGTGCGCGCAGCCCAGTAGGGGGGAAAGGCGCGGCTGACTGCGGATGAATTTTCCCTCACTGGCCATGCTCGACCTGATGCAGTCGCCTGGCTCAGAAGGTGACGTGCGGTGCAGAGGGTTTTGTGTGCGTATGGTAGGTGTGGGATGCTACATTGAGTGCCGAGTGGGGGGAGGGGCGCAGCTGACTGCAGACGAGCTGTCTCTGGCTGCGTTTGCTAGTGCGGATTGTTGTGTGTGTGCTGTAGGTTCGGGTGCATCAAATCCTAAGCTGTGGGGTGTTTAGTGGGGAAGGGGCGCAACTGACAGTTAACTGAATAATCTGTGTGTTTTTGTGTGTGTGTCCATATGTGTGAACTTCTGTGCTCGTGTGCATGTGTGTGCGTATGTGCACGCATGTGTCCGTGTGCATGTGTCTGTGTGCATGCATATGCACCAGGTTGCAGGTGAGCTGTTCAACTTGGTGGGAGATCAAGGCTTTGAGTTCATCCAGCAACTGCTACAGGTACGAACGAATGCATATGCGTCTTGTGCCTCATGTGGTTCTTGTTATGTATGTTCTTTATTCCTCCATCGAACCTCTTGCATCAGTTATTTGCTCTCTCTGTGGCATCTCTCTTATTGTCCGTCTGCCGTCCTTTTCCCTTCTCCCGTCCTCGCTTCCCCCCCGCCCACCTCGCCACCCCATCAGCACCGCAAGGCACTGGTCTCTGCAGCTGGATGGACCCTCTGAGCCCTCACGCAGGCAATGGATGCAGATGCAGCGGGCAGCGGCGCCAGCAACAGCCACACCCAATACTCTGTCTATCCCCTTCTCCTCCCGCCTGCCTCCCTGTTCAGCACCGAAAGGCCCTAGTGTCCGCAGCTCAATCGGTCCTCTCAGCCCTTAAGAAAGCAATGGATGCAGATGCCGTGGGCAGCAGCGGCATCAAACAGCCACATTTGACACTTTTTTCTTCCCCTTCCACCCCCCCTCCTTCCTCCCCCCTCCCCACCTGCCAGCACCGCAAGGCCCCAGTGTCCGCAGCTCAGTCGGCCCTCTCAGCTGTGAAGGAGGCAATGGAAGCGACTCAGCAGTCACAGGAGCCCGCAACAACCGCCACATCCCTTCCTTCCCCCTTGCACAACTTCCCTCCCCACCCACCAGCATCGGAAGGCCCTAGTCTCTGCAGCCCAGTCAGCCCTGAAAGAACCAATGGATGCTGGTGTAGCAGGCAGCGGCGCCAGCAACAGCCACATGTGACACTGTTTTCTTCCCCTCCCTTCCCCCCTCCTTCCTCCCCCCTCCCCACCCGCCAGCATCGGAAGGCCCTAGTATCCGCTGCTCAGTCCGCCCTCTCAGCCTTGAAAGAGGCAATGGATTCGGACGCAGCAGGCAGTGGCGCCAGCAACAGCCACATTCGTCATGGCGCCAGAGTGACCGTGCAGACGGAGTCGGAGAAGCAGCTGGAGAAGCTGCGGAAGAAGGAGGACAAGCGGATCGCGCGGGCTGCAGCAAAGACAGGAGGAGGAGGGGGAGTGGGCGGGCCAGGAGGGGGGAGAGGGGGAGTGGAGGGGGAATTAGCGTGGCTGCTGGGCGCTGGGGGGTTTTCGGCGTTGGTGGAAGCGGGGGAGAACAGAGGGGGAGGGGTGATCGATGCGCTGATCGGCACAGGGGACGATGCTGTGCCTGTGAGGGCGCTGCCTGTGGGCACAAAGAGGAAGACTTATAAGGGGTATGAGGAGGTGCATGTGCCGCCGGTGGTTGCGGAAGGGGGGGCGGGGCGGGCGCAGGAGAAGCTGGTTAAGGTGGCTGAGATGGAGCCGTTCGCTCAGAAGGCGTTTGAGGGCTTTCAGACGCTCAATCGGATTCAGAGCCGCATCTACCAGCGCGCCTTCTACTCCAACGAGAACCTCCTGGTACGTCCTGTCCTGTTTGAGGTTACGGTAAAGCGAGCAGGGCGCAGGAGAAGCTGGTTAAGGTGGCTGAGATGGAGCCGTTTCCTCAGGAGTCAGAAGGCGTTTGATGATGCTTTCAGACGCTCAACCGCATCCAGAGCCGCATCTACCAGCGCGCCTTCTACTCCAACGAGAACCTCCTGGTACTTCCTGTGGGAGGTTTCGGGTTAGCATCTTGCATCTGCCATGCGGCTTACACTTTACCAAAACCCCCCTGTACGCGCTTTAAGGTTCGGTGTGTAGCGTTTTCGGCAACTCAAACCATGCCATCTCGACCAACAAAGGCGTTTTTCTTTGGCACATCCAGGTGTTATTATTTTGGCACCTTAATTTTCAACCCTTCATGCCGCTTCTTAGCTGTAGGAAATCATAAAACATAACTTGTCTCTTCTACCTCTTTGCACCATCTCCCTTCCTGTAGGTGTGTGCGCCAACAGGAGCAGGCAAGACCAACATTGCGATGATCACTGTTCTGCATGAGGTGAGGGGGGGTTTTAAAATGACAAAGCGAAGGGTTGCACTCATGCATTAAGGAGAGTAGGTCGCTTTCGAGTCGACTCAATAACGGGCAAGACCAACATTACGATGACCACTGTTGAGCATGAGGTGAGGGGGGGAGTGTTAAAATGACAAAACGAGGGGTTACACTCATGCATTGAGGGGTTTAGCTGGTCACATGGGGTTTTATGTTGGTATAGAGAGGGTTTAAGCTGGTGGATGGGGGGGGGGGATGGTGAGCGTACTGACTCGACTCGTTACTGTCACTTGAGGTCTTTCACACTGGTTGGGCGTGGAATGCAAACCATGTGAAGGCCTGGAATGATGCCCCCCACCACCCCACCATGAGGTCTTTCACGTTGTTCATGTCAAAAGAAGTGTTGCCCTTCACTTCACTCACGCTCATCCATCGTTCATCATCTACTGCAGGTGGGAGCTGTCTTTTGAGTCGACTCAAAACGAGCTGACTTCTGAGTCGACTCAAACGAGCTGAGTTTTGAGTCGACTCAAAACGAGCTGACTTTTGAGTCGACACATAACGAGCTGACTTTTGAGTCGACACATAACGAACTGACTTTTGAGTCGACTCAAAACGAACTGACTTTTGAGTCGACTCAAAACGAGCTGACTTTTGCGTCGACTCAAAGGTCTTTCACGCTCTTCAATACGAGTGTTGTCCTTCACTCACACTCATCCGTTGTCCATCATCTTCTGCAGGTGGGAGCCAACTTCAAGAACGGAGTGCTGCAAAAGAACGACTTCAAGGTTGTCTACGTGGCTCCGATGAAGGTAGGCAGTGGAGCAAGGGGGGAAGTGCGGACCAGGGCGCTCCACAAGGAAGGCTCTTATGTAGTAGGAAGAGTAGCTCTTGTGGAAATTCCTGCGCGGTGTTAGCAATTCTCGGGCTGGAAGAAGTGGTGATCGGGTAGTCTGCGGTCGTGGTGAGCATGCACGTTGAAGGCAAAATTAGCTGTGTCATGGCATTTCAATCTCTTCAACTCACCGCCATTCACACTCATAGGTGTCTAGAAGCTGAGTGTTTGATGCTCCGACTAAGCACTAGCAGCCGAGGTGCCAGTGTATCTTGGCCTGTAGTTGTTAGGTGTTTCCTCTCATTCGTTTCCTCTCATTCGTTTCCTGTGTGTGATATTCCCACCACCTCTCCAGGCGCTAGCAGCGGAGATGGCGGCAGCATTTGGGCGGCGCTTGGCCCCTCTGGGCCTGGCGGTGCGAGAGCTGACTGGCGACATGCAGCTAACCAAGCGGGAGATGGAGGAGACACAGGTGAGGAGAGGTATAGTCTTGAGGTGAGGAGACAGGTGCCTCTTGCTTGCGCCAACCGTGTCTTGAGGAGACACAGCTGGTGCCTCTTGCTTGCGCCAACTGTTGGTGTTAGAACTGACTGGCGACATGCAGCTGACTAAGAGGGAGATGGAGGAGACACAGGTGAGGGGAGGGATAGACTTGAGGTGAGGCAATAGGTGCCTCTTGCTTGCGCCAACAGTGGGGGTGTTAGAGCTGACTGGCGATATGCATTCTGCTCTAGAGGGAGATAGAAGAGACGCACACAGGAGAGTGACCACCCGCTGATTCTCTGTTTCCACCCATATATCCCAGTCCCAGATGATGCTGTCGATGCCATAAAAACGCGCGCACGAACCACTTGCGCGTTTCACCTCCCTTTGATGACATGATCGTGACATGCTCCCTTCCCTCCACCTCCAATACCCTTCCTTTCCTCCCTCCCCACCACCCTTCAGATGATCGTGACGACACCGGAGAAGTGGGACGTGATTACGTGCAAGAGCTGAGACGCGCAAGAGCTGAGACGCGCAAGAGCTGAGACGCGCAAGAGCTGAGACGCGCAAGAGCTGAGACGCGCAAGAGCTGAGACGCGCAAGAGCTGAGACGCGCAAGAGCTGAGACGCGCAAGAGCTGAGACGCGCAAGAGCTGAGACGCGCAAGAGCTGAGACGCGCAAGAGCTGAGACGCGCAAGAGCTGAGACGCGCAAGAGCTGAGACGCGCAAGAGCTGAGACGCGCAAGAGCTGAGACGCGCAAGAGCTGAGACGCGCAAGAGCTGAGACGCGCAAGAGCTGAGACGCGCAAGAGCTGAGACGCGCAAGAGCTGAGACGCGCAAGAGCTGAGACGCGCAAGAGCTGAGACGCGCAAGAGCTGAGACGCGCAAGAGCTGAGACGCGCAAGAGCTGAGACGCGCAAGAGCTGAGACGCGCAAGAGCTGAGACGCGCAAGAGCTGAGACGCGCAAGAGCTGAGACGGCGGCAAGAGCTGAGACGCGCAAGAGCTGAGACGCGCAAGAGCTGAGACGCGCAAGAGCTGAGACGCGCAAGAGCTGAGACGCCGGCAAGAGCTGAGACGCGCAAGAGCTGAGACGCGCAAGAGCTGAGACGCGCAAGAGCTGAGACGCGCAAGAGCTGAGACGCGCAAGAGCTGAGACGCGCAAGAGCTGAGACGCGCAAGAGCTGAGACGCGCAAGAGCTGAGACGCGCAAGAGCTGAGACGCGCAAGAGCTGAGACGCGCAAGAGCTGAGACGCGCAAGAGCTGAGACGCGCAAGAGCTGAGACGCGCAAGAGCTGAGACGCGCAAGAGCTGAGACGCGCAAGAGCTGAGACGCGCAAGAGCTGAGACGCGCAAGAGCTGAGACGCGCAAGAGCTGAGACGCGCAAGAGCTGAGACGCGCAAGAGCTGAGACGCGCAAGAGCTGAGACGCGCAAGAGCTGAGACGCGCAAGAGCTGAGACGCGCAAGAGCTGAGACGCGCAAGAGCTGAGACGCGCAAGAGCTGAGACGCGCAAGAGCTGAGACGCGCAAGAGCTGAGACGCGCAAGAGCTGAGACGCGCAAGAGCTGAGACGCGCAAGAGCTGAGACGCGCAAGAGCTGAGACGCGCAAGAGCTGAGACGCGCAAGAGCTGAGACGCGCAAGAGCTGAGACGCGCAAGAGCTGAGACGCGCAAGAGCTGAGACGCGCAAGAGCTGAGACGCGCAAGAGCTGAGACGCGCAAGAGCTGAGACGCGCAAGAGCTGAGACGCGCAAGAGCTGAGAGCTGAGACGCGCAAGAGCTGAGACGCGCAAGAGCTGAGACGCGCAAGAGCTGAGACGCGCAAGAGCTGAGACGCGCACCTGGTCGATCACCTGTTATGATAGTGATACGCGCTGTCTTCTCTCCCTCCATCTCTATCCCTTGGCCCCGCGCCCCCCCCCCCCCTCCCCCCCATCCACCAGATGATCGTGACGACGCCGGAGAAGTGGGACGTGATCACGCGCAAGAGCTCAGACGTGTCCATGGCGTCGCTGGTGCGGCTGCTTGTCATCGACGAGGTGCATCTGCTCAACGACGACAGAGGGCCCGTTATCGAGACGCTGGTGGCTCGAACCCTGAGGCAGGTGAGAGAGAGGGCCACCCCTGGGCTGATGGGTGGTAAGCCTGCTGTGCGCCTGCTGGGGATGGACGAGGTGCACCTGCTCAACGACGACGGAGGGCCCGTCATCGAGACATTAGTGGCGCTCACCTTGAGACAGGTGAGCCGTTCGCAGGCCATTATGACAGGCCAGTGTGACGTGCCAGCATCGTGGCTGCTGGTCATCGACGAGGTGCACCTACCCAACGACAACAGAGGGCCGGTTATCGAGACATCAGTGGCTCGCACCCTCAGACAGGTGAGCGAGGGGGACACAGGGACAGGTGGGTAGCACGTGGGGGGTAAACCTGCTGGTGCGGCTGCTGGTGATCAGCGAGGTGCATGTGCTCAATGACGATCGAGGGCTAGTGGTTGAAGCCCGGTGGCGCGCACCCTCTGATAGGTGGGTGACACACAGGGTGGTAGCAGGCAAGCATGGTGCGGCTGCTGGTGTTAGACTAGGTGCATGGGTGCAACAACGGTGCGTGGTGGAAACACTGGTGGCACGCACTGAAACTGGTCAAAAGGTGGATAGGTATGTGCAGATAGGTGGGTGGCAGACACGCGGGCAGCAGAAAGGTGGGTGGCAGCCAGGCGGGCGGCAGCTAGGTGGGTGGCAACTAGGTGTGTGGCACCTAGGTGGGTGGCACCTAGGTGGGTGGCACCTAGGTGGGTGGCACCTAGGTGGGTGGCAGCTAGGTGGGTGGCAGCTAGGCGAGTGGCAGCTAGGTGGGTGGAACCTTGGTGGGTGGTGCCTAGGTTGGTGGCAGCTAGGCGGGTGGCAGGTAGATATGTGTTGATTTTCCTGTCAGGCAAGTGGTCCTCAGGCTGGTTCCATTAGTCTACATGATTCCACAGAGTGTCTCAGATGTTCTTGTCGCTCTGGCCCTGTGTGTTGCATGAGCACTGTTGCACAGTAGTGACCCGTGAACTGTGTGTATGGTGGCATGTATGGTTGCATGGCATGTATGGTGGCATGAATGGTGGCATGGCATGTATGGTGGCATGTATGGTGGCATGGCATGTATGGTGGCATGTATGGTGGCATGGCATGTATGGTGGCATGTATGGTGGCATGCATACCGCAGGTGGAGAGCTCTCAGAGCATGATTCGCATCGTGGGCCTGTCAGCCACGCTGCCAAACTACACAGAGGTGGGCTGGATTAGACCTGGGCAGCATGCCGAGCCATGCTCGGCTCGACCCGGCTCGACTCGACTTTTAAGCGAGTCGAGCCGGGTTTTTTTTTTTTGGCCGGCTCGCCCCGAGTCGAGCCGAGTCGAGCCGAGTCGAGCCGAGTCGAGCCGGTCGAGCTGCGCGGCTCGGCTCGGCTCGTCGGAAATTTTTGGGCGAGCCGAAGTCGAGCCGGCTCGATTTCGGCTCGACTGTCGAGTCGCGCGGCTCGCCTCGCCCCCCCCCTGGAAATCGAGAACCCATTTCTGGTTTTCGATTTCCAGCAACTCTAAGCGCTGCCTGATAGGAGTCTAGTTTTGAGGCGCCTCAAAACTAGACTCCTATCACGCGGTTTTCGATTTCCAGTAACTCTCAGCGCTGCCTACGCCCACCCCACCACGCCAGCCTAGCATGCCTAAGCCCCATTAATCTCACTCCGTAAGTTCAGTCAGACATTAACTAGAGTGTTTTAGGTTATTAGGGTTCAGAAATTTACGTTTTTAGGGTACACCAGCAATGGCGATTTCGGTTTAGGACCTCGATTTTCTAGGTCCGCCAAACACCCACTTTCTACTCTAGTCAAGAGTGCTAACGATCACAATACTCCCCCCCTGTCGAGTCGAGCCGAGCCGAGCCAAAGTCGAGCCGGCCCTTGGCTCGACCCTCAAACCCCGAGTCGAGCCAGCCATTTTCGGGCAGCCGGCTCGGGTTAAGTCGAGCCGGCTCAGCTCGACTTTTACTTGGCTCGTGGTCGAGTCGAGCCGAGTCGAGCCAGGCTCGGCATGCTGCCCATGTCTAGGCTGGATGTAGGATGCAGGAGTTTTAAGCAGAGGGGGACTGGGCAGAGGATTGGAAATTCTGAGTTTCACATATGAAGCACTCATATGAATGATGAGGCGTCGGCTGCTGCGGTTCACCTCTTGAGGCTGAGGATCTTCAAATACCATCGTGGCTCATTGTCTCCTCAAGATGATACTGCTACTATTTTGGAGGCGCCTAAAAAATACACTCCTCATTGTCTCCTACTGCCACCTTCTGTCATCCACCTCCCCCCTTTCCCGTTGTCAATCCCCTTTCTCTTCCTAAGTGCTCACCGCCTCCTGTGCATCCTCCACCCCTCACACACCCCCATCTGCAGGTTGCCCAATTCCTCCGTGTACAGTGGAGTCATTCTCTAGAATTCTAAAGATGGGCTCCTTCTGTGCGCCCTCTACCCCTCACACGCTCCCACCTGCAGGTGGCGCAATTCCTCCGTGTCAACCTGGACACCGGTCTTTTCTACTTCGATGCGTCGTACCGCCCCGTGCCACTCTCCCAGCAGTACATTGGGGTCTCAGAGCCCAACTTTGCCCGTCGCAACACGCTCATGCACGAGATTGCATATGAGAAGGTGGGGGGCAATATGATTCATGGCTTCGATGATCCATGGGTTCTCTCCCAAGGCATCCTTGGGATGAGATGCCCCCATGGCTGTGTTATTTTACTATAGGTATAGGTCGCGTAGGGTAAAAGAAGCTTCCACAGTTCCACATGAGATTTGTAGGCTTTGCATCCCGGCAATGCATCGACGCTGGCACATGCGTGTATTGCGAATAATGCCTGACCATGCATCCATTTTGAGTTATGCATCCATATGGAGGCATGCATCAACCGCATCAGCGCTCTCCACAGGCCACATTTGCATCTGCCCATCGGCACGGTCCACGGAGCAGCTGCTTCAGGCGCCTAGGAAAACACAGTGAAAGATGATGCATGGTCAAGCAAGAAGCTACAAGGTTATCCAGTCGATTCCCTCCATGCGCGTATGGCATACCGCACTGCTTGATTGCATGGCTGCTTGACTGGCTGGCTCACTGCCTTGTTGACCCAATTCTTCCCACCCACCCAGGCCATGAATGCAGTGAAGCGCGCCAAGCAGGCCATGGTGTTCGGGCCTGCTTGCCCTCCAGGATGGAACGACACCTTCCAGACCGCAAGACTGCTCCATTGCTCCACTGCTTAATTGCGTGACTGCCTGTTTGCCTTCTTGACCCATATGTTCCTTCCCAGGCCATGAATGCAGTGAAGAACGGCAAGCAGGCCATGGTGTTTGTGCACTCCAGGAAGGACACTGTTAAGACTGCGAGAATACTGGTTCGTGTGTCATACGCTCATATGCATCGTGAAATCCGTTCTTGTTTTTCTGCATTGGAACTTGCTGCCGTCAGTTTATTGCTAGACACGTGTGAGCTGCCATCCTCATTTCTCATGCCTCTTGCCTCTCATTGGACCGCATGCTACCACATGCTACCACATGCTGCCACATTTTATGTTACCACGTGCACACCACGTGTTACGATGCACCCACCACATGTTACGACGCAACCACCACATTTTACCACACAACACCCCACGGTACTACCACACAACACCACGTGTCACCACACACTCTATATGTTGCCACACTCACGTGCCTGACAGATGGAGACGGCTCAGAGGAATGGCGAGGTGGAGCTGTTCAACCCGCAGGAGCAGCCGCAGTACAAACTCATGGAGGTGCGGGGGATGGTGGGGGTGTGATGGTGTGGATGTACGAAGGCTAGAAGCTGTGTTACAGACATATGGAGAGGTATGGTGGTTTGCAGTTACAGCACAGCACACACAGAGAGGAATGGCGAGGTGGAGCTGTTCAACCCGCAGGAACAGCCGCAGGACAAATTCATGGAGATGAGGTGGTTGGTAACCCCATGGAGCTATGGGGGATGATAAACTCATGGAGGTATAGTGGTCGGTGGAAGTATGGGGGTTGGCAGTTACAGCTGAAACAGAGGAATGGCGAGGTGGAGCTGTTCAACCCGCTGGAACAGCCTCAGTACAAACTCGTGGAGGTGCGGGGGCGAGTGGAGGTGTGGTGATTGGTGGAGGTATGGGGTTTGGAAGCCACAGCATACACACACACACTAGCAAGCCCCTCTCCTTCCTCCCTCCCCCCTTTCCGCCTGTGGTATCTCTCCCTTTCTTCGCCCCGTATTCCCCTCTGTGGAGGGCAGAAGGATGTGCAGAGGTCGCGCAACAGGGAGGTGGGCGAGCTCTTCCAGGCCGGCATGCTTAGGCCCACTCTCGTGCCCTCATGCCTCCCCATCCTACCCCTTCCGCTGTCCCTTCACACGTATTTCCCATCCAACAGAAGGATGTGCAGAGGTCGCGCAACAGGGAGCTGGGCGAGCTCTTCCAGGCAGGATTTGGCATCCACCATGCTGGCATGCTGCGCCCTGATCGCTCGCTCACTGAGAAGCTCTTCAGCATGGGGCTCGTGAAGGTGAGGTGAGGGCGAAGCAAGGGGCACACACTGTAAGGCGACACGCCACGCGTCTGCATACAAGGTGACTTTTGAGTCGACTCAAAAGTCGTCTGCATGCACATCGCTCGCTCCCTGAGAAGCTCTTCAGCATGGGGCTCGTGACGGTGAGTGAGAAGCACGGCATAGGCCACCCTATCCCTGTTTCCTCATCTATGTCACTCAGCTCTCACTCGCTCTCTCTTACTCTCCCACTCCCCCTCCCCTTTCTCCCCTTTCTCTTCCCCACATTCCTCTCGCCTGCGGCATCTCAGGTGCTTGTGTGCACAGCCACGTTGGCGTGGGGAGTCAACCTGCCAGCTCACACTGTCATCATTAAGGTGCAGTATAGAGTACCTTGTTACACATCAAGGAAGTACAGCGCACTGTAGCTCCTTAGTTCATCATCAAGGTAGTGTAATTTATCGAGCGGCCCCGCCTCCTTTGCGGTGATTCCATGGCCGACCTTTCTTGTAGCTCCTTCCGGTGAAGATTTCTCTCAACGGTACCTCGTGCTGTTTGCATGCCCGTGATAGTTTTTTTAGAATTCTCACAGATTTATCAGTAGAGTCGCTGCTGGCGTCAGAGCGCTGGCTTGCACAAGGCTTCAATGATCTATTGGGCATGCAGTCACCACGATGGCATGTGTAATGCCACAAGGCACGGCACGATGTAGTGAGTGTGAGTGCGCGACACCACAAGGTCGAAGTGTATTCAATCCTTTCTCTCTTTATCTTATCCCATTGTCCCCTACCCTCTCTCTTCCCCACCACAGGGCACTCAGCTGTATGACGCCAAGGTTGGCGGCTTCCGAGAGCTGGGCATGCTGGATGTGATGCAGGTGAGAGTGGATGCTGCGCGGTGCTGTGTGTGTGATGCACTGAGCATGCAGGATGTGATGCAAGTGAAAGTGGGTGAAGTGCGGGGTGCTGTGCGGTATGGTAGTGTGTGGTCCAGTTTGCATGCTGGGTGTGAGGCGAAGCACAGCGCGGCTGTTTTATTGCATCATATCAGCCTATCATGTACCCTGACCTGACCCATGCTGTATTGCTTCAACCATGCTGTCGTGCTTCAACCATGCCACCAAAAATCACCGCCTTGGCACCATGCTTCTTCACCCAACGCCCCCTTTCCTTTATCTCCACAGTAGGTTAAGCACTTCCACCTTCATGCAGGTTCATTCATATCTTCCGAAAACCACACCACCTACAGTTATTCAGCGGAGCAAGTCCGCCACAGCTTGACTTAAGCAAAAGCGCATCCTCTTTTTGCTCACAACCAACTCGCACACTACTTCCGCCCCTGAGGTGTACTCACGTTCCACCTTTGTGCCTTGTTTTATCTTACACCACCTCTCAGATCTTTGGGCGGGCGGGTCGGCCACAGTTTGATTCGAGTGGCGAGGGAATCATCATCACGGCTCACAACCAGCTCGCACACTACCTGCGCCTCATGACCCACCAGATGCCAATAGAGTCGCAGGTGAATTCCCACCACAAGTACTACTTCACCACAGGTCTCTCAGCAGGTTATCAGCCAGCTTGCGCACTACCTGCGCCTCATGACCCACCAGATGCCCATCGAGTCCCAGGTGAGGCCCCAGCTGCCCATCGGTCACAGGTTGGTCTTCATTACAAGTCGTGGTTCAGCCACAGGTCTCAGGTTGTCAACCAGCTTGCGCACTACCTGCACCTCATGACCCAACAGATACCCATTGAGTCTCAGGTGATTTTTCACACAGATATCAGGTGAGTTTACACAGGCACAAGGTGAATTCCCACACAGGAATCAGGTGGTTCTGGGGACGGTGCTCCTCTCTCCTCCTCTTCTCACACGCACCTCTTCTCCTTCCCCGTGGCCTCTTCCAACGCCACCCCACTCACCTCACAGTTCGTGGCGATGCTGAAGGACAATCTGAACGCGGAGGTGGTGCTGGGGACGGTCACCAACGTGAAGGAGGCGTCTGCCTGGCTGGGGTACACCTACCTCTTCGTGCGCATGCAGGCCAACCCATTGGCGTACGGCATGACGTGGCAGGATGTGAGTTCGTGTATGGCCAAACCCCAAGTTGACTAGAGAGCACTTGGCTGGGGTGGGGTGGGGTGCACGTATCTCTTGGACAAAGGCCACATGTTATGAACGCCTCTTCGTGCCATCCCATATCCTGTGTTTTGTCTCACTTGTCAGTGCCCACTATCGCTCCCTTGTGATCTTCCACCTCCTCCCTCCTCCTCCTCCTCCTTCTCTCAGGTGGCCTCGGGCCCGGGCCTGGTGGCTTGGCACGAAGCCATTATTCCGCCGTCTCTGGTTCCCACTCTCTCCCCCTCCCCCCCCTCCTTCCTCCTCCCTCTTTCTCCCATCCTTCCAGGTAGCCATGGATCCAGGCCTGGTGGCTCGGCGCCAGGCCTTGATCACCGAGGCTGCGAGGTCGCTGGATCGGGCCAAGATGATGAGGTTCGACGAGAGGAGCGGGCAGCTGTACGTCACAGAGCTGGGACGGGTGGCGAGCCACTTCTACATCCGATACACGTCCGTGGAGACTTATAATGAGCTGCTAAGACGACACATGAGCGAGAGCGAGGTGAGAAGAGGAGGGAGGGTTTGCTGGGCATCCAAGGTGATGAAATTTGACGAGAGGAGTGGGCGGCTGTAAGTCACTGAGTGTGGCCGCGTGGCGAGCCACTTCTACGTCCGATACACGTCTGTGGAGACTTCTATTGAGCTGCTGAGGCGACACATGAGTGAGCGCGAGGTGAGAAGGGGAGGGAGGGTTTGCTGGGCATCCAAGATGATGAAATTTGATGAGAGGGGCGGGCGGCTGTAAGTCACTGAGTGTGGCCGTGTGGCGAGCTACTTCTACGTACGATACGCATCCGTGGAGACTTCTAATGAGCTGCTGAGACGACACATGAGCGAGAGCGAGGTGAGAGTGAGGGGGGAAATGAAGGGGGTTGGATCGGGCCAGGAGGATGCGCTTTGACGAGGCATAGGGGGCGGCAGCATGTCACTGAGAGCTGGTACGAGTGGCAAGCCACTTCTACATCTGATACACGTCCATGGCGTGGAGTGGAGGCCTCTAATGAGTCGAAGTCTTGCAACAAGCTGCTCTAAGACGGTACAAGTGACGGAGCGAGGAGGACATGCTGTTGCTCTAGTCTCTACTTTCCCACCTCTCACCCGCTGTTCCCCTCATCCTTCTCACTTTCCTGCTCCCAGATTGTGGATTTGATAGCGCAAGCATCCGAGCTTGAGAACAGAGGAGGAGGAGATGCCGGAGCTCCTCAAGCTGCCTCTCGCTCGCCCGCCCCTTGGTCTCACCCCCGCTGAACCTCCCCTCTCCCTCCTCCCCCCCTCCCAGAGACTCGACCTGATAGCGGGATCCTCTGTTTTCGAGAACATAGTGCTGCACTGCACGAATAGGAGATGGCAGAGCTCTTCATTGTTCCTTTTCCTGCGTCTCACTCAATTCTCTCCTCTCGCTCCTCGCTTTCCCGAACCCAGATAGTAGACTTCATTACTCGATCCTCCGAGTTTGAGAACACAATGGTGCTCGAGGAGGAGGTGTCAAGGTGTTCACTCTCCCCCTCCCCTCTCCCCCTCCTCTTCCTCTTTCTATTGACCCTCCCTCTCCCAGATCGTAGACCTGATAGCTAGATCGTCCGAGTTCGAGAACATAGTGGTGCGCGAGGAGGAGATGCCGGAGCTCTTCACTCTGCGCTCCAAGTGCTGCCCGCTGGACGTCAAGGGCGGGCCGGAGGACAAGATTGGGAAGATCAACATCCTCATCCAGGTAGACTTAGTCACAAGAGAGTTTTTAGTCTACATGAAAGTATCATAATCAATGATGTAGTTTCTCTCAAGTGCTGCCCGCTGGACGTCAAGGGCGGGCCCGAGGACAAGATCCGGAAGATGGGCATTCTCATCCACGCAAGGCCATGAGGAGAGGCTATGAGGAGAGGCTATGAGGAGAGGCTATGAGGAGAGGCTATGAGGAGAGGCTATGAGGAGAGGCTATGAGGAGAGTCTATCTCTTGGCCGCATCGTGCACTTTACATTTCCTGCTGCTCCCTGCACTCTCCTTCTTTACCGCTCCCGGGGCTTCCTCGACCCCGTCTCTGTTGTCGCTGACACCACACGCCTATGTCTCCACCTCTCTCGGCTCGGCTGTGTAGTCCCTCTTTCCAATCTGCTGCTCCCTGCCCTCTCATCCCCCCCCCGGTCCTCCCCCTCCCCCAGGTGTACCTCTCCCGGGGTTTCCTCGACTCCTTTTCTCTCATCGCTGACACCGCCTACGTCTCTGCCTCGCTCGGCCGCATTGTGCGCGCGCTCTTTGAGATCGCTCTGAAACGAGGATGGTGCTCACTGGCCGCCTCTCTGCTGGAAATGGCCAAGGCGGTGGATCAGCGCATCTGGCCGCACCAGCACCCTCTCAGGCAGTTCGAGGGGGTGCTCACTCAAGAGGTCAGTCTCCCTCTTGTTGAATCTATCAGTGTCACGTAAGTGACGCCGTTTTTCTTGGGGATGGCGAAGGCGGTGGATCAGCGCATCTGGCAGCAGCAGCATCCCCTGTGGCAGTTTGAAGGGTCAGCCCACACCACCACCACCCCCCTGCACTGTCTCTGCAAATGCGTTCGATCGGCACATCTGGCCACAGCAACGCACTTTGAGGCACCTTGAGACACCTTGAGGCACCTTGAGGCACCTTGAGGCACCTTGAGGCACCTCGAGGCACCTTGAGGCACCTTGAGGCACCTTGAGGCACCTTGAGGCACCTTGAGGCACCTTGAGGCACCTTGAGGCACCTTGAGGCACCTTGAGGCACCTTGAGGCACCTTGAGGCACCTTGAGGCACCTTGAGGCACCTTGAGGCACCTTGAGGCACCTTGAGACAGTTCACAGGAATGGCGACTCAGGAGATAAGATCATCTCGCATCAGCTCCCTTCACTGTCTCTCTGCTGGAAATCTGCACAGTTGGTGGATCAGCGAATCTGGCCAGTCATGAGAGCACGTCGTTGTGTGTCATGGCCGTGCAGTCAGAGACTCGGAGCCCCTCTGTACCCTACCATTTCACGCGTCTTCACCACCACCCCTCGCTGTGTGCAGTGTGCATCAGGTGTGCTGTTCGAGCACGAGGATCGAGGGGTGCACTTGGACTTGGACATCCGGAGGAGCTTGCTGATGGGCACCTCGAATCAATCCACCCATTCTCTCAGCATGCCTTATTGATTTATCCCGTGCCTATACCAGCCCGTTGCTCGCTGTGCTAATGGCGTACCCCAGGTTCAGCTCGAGCTGGAGAATTGAGGGATGAACTTGGACAGACTCTGCGACATGCCTGGTTATAGGCACCTCAAGCCACCCTGCGCCTATGCATGTCTTATCCCATGACTCTATCACTCCACACCGTGCCTCAGGTGCTGTTGACGCTGGAGGATTGAGGGCTGGACCTGGACTGCCAGTGTCACATGGTGTTGCAGCCGTCATTCGCTCTCCCTCTCATGTCCCCATCATCCCATGGTGCGCCCCAGGTGCAGTTTAAGCTGAAGGGCCGAGGGCTGGACCTGGGCTGGGCGACAGGGGTGATTCCAAGGCACCTGGAACCGAGGTGACTTTTGAGTCGACTCAAAGGTGATTCCAAGGCACCTGGAACCGCCCTCATTCATACGCGTGTGCTATCCCATGCATGCATGCATGCATGTCTGTATCGCTGCATTTTTTGTGCCCCAGGTGCTGTTCAAGCTGGAGGACCGAGGGCTGGACCTGGACCGGCTGTGCGACATGGACGACAATGAGATCGCTGCCATCATCCGCTCGCCCTATGCCGCCAAGGTGGGCTTTGCTGCCATCATCCGCTCGCCCTATGCCGCCAAGGTGGGCTTTGCTGCCATCATCCGCTCGCCCTATGCCGCCAAGATGGGCTTTGCTGCCATCATCCGCTCGCCCTATGCCGCCAAGGTGGGCTTTGCTGCCATCATCCGCTCGCCCTATGCTGCCAAGGTGGGCTTTGCTGCCATCATCCGCTCGCCCTACGCTGCCAAGGTGGGCCCTCCTGGTGCTGTGAAGAGGCAACTGTTTCTGAGTCGACTCAAAAGTATGAGTTCACTGCCATCATCCTGCTAGCAGTTAAGATGCTACCTATCCAATGTAGAACCATTTTCCTCGTCCGTTGTCCTCTTGTGTCAGTGCCCTTTTCCTTGTACTGCACGCACAGCTTTGTGACTTATGATTCCTTTAGCTTAAAAAGTGGGTGGGTCAGATCACATCGACTTCTACTCCTGTCTCTCACCAACCTCGTCTCTTGGAGCAAACGCCCATCACTGTAATCACCTCCTGTCCTCCCTGTAGCCCTCCTGCCTTGTACTCCCTCCTCCCTCCCTCGCCCACCTCAGATTGTGTCGCAGTGCGGCTCTCAGTTCCCCTACCTCCAGCTCCACGCTCACATCAGCCCCATCTGATCAACCCTTCTCTTCCTTCTCTTCAACCCCACTCTCCGTTTCTCCCCCCCACCCCCTGCTCTCACTCGTCCCTCAGCTTGTGTCGCAGTGCGTCTCTCAGTTCCCCTACCTTGAGCTCGACGCTCACATCAGCCCCATCACCCGCACCGTGCTTCAGGTGTGCTGTGCGTCTATTTAGGCGCCTTAAAATTTGCCCCATCACCCTCCCTCCCGCACAGCGTTGATAGAATATTTCCTCTGTTCGTTCTCTCTGCGCCTTCCCCACCTTTCTCTTTGCACCCGGATACTCTTCCCTGCAGTCTACTACTTTCGCCATCTCCCACCATCTCCCACCATCTCCCACCATCTCCACATCCTATCGTCTCCCCCTCTTCTCCAAGTCTATCTGAATGTGACTCCTTGTTTCCTGTAGAGGGATATGTGCATTCATTATGTTATGTGAACGCTAATATGCATCTTTATCGCAACCGAAACACAACCACCCAACTCCCCCCCCTCTTCCCTCTTCTCTCTGCCCTCCTCCCTTCCCTGCCAGCCATGTGACTCTGTATGTGCCACCGAATTCACGTCCACAGCCACTGGAATGCACCTCTCATGCCATTGGGATGCGCATCCTGGTATCTGCTCCCCTATCCCTCCCCCCCCCCACCCCTGCCAGGTGACGCTCTACGTGACGCCCACCTTCCAGTGGAAGGAACGATTCCATGGCAACTCACAGCGGTGGTGGATATGGGTGGAGGTGAGTGGAGATGGGTGGAGGTGAGTGGCTATGGGTGGAGGTGAGTGGCTATGGGTAAAGGTGCGTGGAGATGGGTGGAGATGAGTGTCTATGGGTGGAGGTGAGTGGATATGGGTGGAGTTGAGTGGCTATGGGTGGAGTGGAGGTGAGTGGCTCTGGTTTGAAGGTGAGTGGATATGGGTGGATACATGTTAGGAGCAGTGAATGTGGTAAACGGTTGTGGATATAGTTTGGAGGTGAAGCACTAATCGAGTCACTCCCATCCCAAGCAATCCTTGTTGTTCTTGTGAAAATTGAGCAATTCCTGCTCTGTACTCTTTTCCTGCTCTGTACTCTTTTCCTGCTCTGTACTCTTTTCCTGCTCTGTACTCTTTTCCTGCTCTGTACTCTTTTCCTGCTCTGTACTCTTTTCCATCCTCACACTCACCTCTGATGATGCAGTAGCCTTCTTCTTCAACAGTCTATGCAGTCTGTTCTCTACTTTCAGCCAACAGCCACCTTGGACTTCACTCTCTTTCCCTCTCCCTCTTCCTCTGTCCTGCCTTAATTTCCTCCCCTTTCTCCAAGCAGGACAATCGAGAACGATCACATACACCACACGGAGTATTCCATTCTGTCTGAGATCCTCTAACCATCCCCATAACCAAGCTCCATCCCATCCTTTTTTATTGTCTCTCCGTTGCACCCACCAGGACAGTGAGAACGAGCACATCTACCACACGGAGTACTTCATCCTCTCCAAGAAGATGATGGCGCAGGGCACACACACGCTGTCCTTCACCATCCCCATCTTCGAGCCGCTGCCCCCGCAGTACTACGTACGCGCCATCTCCGACAACTGGCTCTCCTCCTCCTCCACCCACACCATCTCCTTCCGCCACCTCATCCTGCCCGAGGTACGTTCTATCTATCCTGCCCGAGGCAACAAATCTCTTGCATGAGGTAACTTCTTTGTTGCTCGATGTAACTTCGCACTTGCCCGAGGTAACCCTCGACTTGCTTGAAGGACCTCCAACTGTTCCTTCTGCGGTGGGCTTTGTTCTTCCCTACATCCGTCCACTCCCTTTCTCTTCCTTGCTCTCGCTTGCACTTCCTCCCCTCCCCAACGTCACTCCCTCACGCACAGAACGACTCGGCCTGCATCCTCTTCCGTTCACAGGCCTCTGCGATCCCCAAGCAGTGTCATGATGTCATCCTCACGCGTCAGCCCACTGAAGACCAAGAGCCTTTCCCCCAACCTTCTCCCCTGTCCTCTGCTTCCCTGTCCTTCTCTCCCCACCGCCACCCCTCCCTCACAGAACTCCCGAATCTGCTTTTGAGTCGACTCAAAAGCAGACTCACAGAACTCCTCAAAAGCAGACTCACAGAACTCCTCAAAAGCAGACTCACAGAACTCCTCAAAAGCAGACTCACAGAACTCCTCAAAAGCAGACTCACAGAACTCCTCAAAAGCAGACTCACAGAACTCCTCAAAAGCAGACTCACAGAACTCCTCAAAAGCAGACTCACAGAACTCCTGAATCTGCGGCCTCTCTCGCTCACAGCCCTGGGCGATCCCCAGGCGGTGTCTCTCTGCACCTTCACATTCACACACTTCAACCCCATTCAGATGCAGGCCTTCCTCTTGCCCCCCCTCCTCTACCCTCCCCTCCCCCAGCGTCATCCCCCCCACACAGAGCTACTCAGCCTGCGGCCTCTCCCCGTCACGGCCTTGGGGGATCCCCAGGCGGTGTCACTCTACGGCTTTTTACACACTCTACCACACCGACCACAGCTTGCTTCTGGGGGCGGCCACCGGCTGGCTCTGGTGCCAAACTATGGTTCTTAGGCTTCAATCTATTCATATGCACCCCCCTGCTTCTCTCCATGTTTCCTCCTTCCTCCTTTCCCTCCCAGCGCCATCCGCCCCACACAGAGCTACTCAACCTGCGGCCTCTCCCCGTCACAGCCTTGGGGGATCCCCAGGCGGTGTCGCTGTACGGGTTTTCGCACTTCAACCCCATTCAGACTCAAGCCTTCCACACGCTGTACCACACCGACCACAGCGTGCTGCTGGGGGCGCCCACCGGCAGTGGCAAGACCATCTCGGCTGAGCTCGCCATGCTCAGGCTGTTCCGCACGCAGCCAGGCATGAAGGTAGGCGAACGAGGGAGACAAGTAGGATAGGAAGACAATAGGGGTCTTGGGGAGAAAGAACAGCCTGCTGGGGGCTCCCACCGGCAGCGGCAAGACCATTCGTGCTGATCTTGCCATGCTCAGGCTGTTTCGCACACAGCCAGGCATGAAGGTGGGGAAGCTAGGGTTCGGGTAAGTGCTCCCTGCCTGTTCCACTCTGTTGGCCTGGCTTGTGCTAGCAACGCCAGGCCGAGCCCTGCACCGCTCGAGCTCTATTCCATCCATGCCTTCTGGTTTGGTTTTTCCTTCTCCCTCTCTCTTTATCCCTCGTCCTGTTCCCTCCATCCCGTCGTTTGTTGTTGTTTAAATCTTTCTTTCCTCGCATTCCTTCCCCACCTCCTCCTATTGCCAGGTGATATACATTGCCCCTCTCAAGGCGCTGGTGCGGGAGAGGATGGAGGACTGGGGCAAGAACTTCATGCCCAAGCTCGGCAAGTGCATGGTGCGTACATCCCATCCAGGCCTTCTGTTGAAGCCCCGAAATCTAAACCCTGAACCCCGGGGACTGGGACAAGAACTTCATGCCAATAATTGGCAAGTGCATGCATGGTGCGTATTCCTTCAATCCTAATCCTTTACCTTTCGGTCCTCAATCGTAAGCCCTAAACCTGGAGGACTGGGGCTAGGAGTTCATGCCATAACTCACCCATCCCAAGTGCATGGTAAACGGCAACCCAAGTGCATGGTAAACCGCAACCCAAGTGCATGGTAAACCGCAACCCAAGTGCATGGTAAACCGCAACCCAAGTGCATGGTAAACCGCAACCCAAGTGCATGGTAAACCGCAACCCAAGTGCATGGTAAACCGCAAGCTCCACCTGCATAGCCCAGACCCCCGCAGACTGGGGCAAGAAGCTGTGTTGTCTCACAGGTGGACGGTGGAGCTAACAACAGCTAATGGGTGACCTTACCCCGGACGACACGAAGCTGCTGGTGGCAGCTGACATCATTGCCTCCCTTGGTCTGCTGTCCCTCCTCCCATCGCCCTCCCCTCGTATCCTTCGCGCCTACCTTCCTTCCTGTCCTCCTCTTCTGTTTTGCCACAGGTGGAGCTCACGGGCGACCTAACCCCAGACATGAAGCTGCTGGTGGCGGCTGACGTCATTGTGGCGACTCCAGAGAAGTGGGACGGCATCACCCGCAGCTGGCACAACCGGTCGTATGCGCAGACGGTGAGAGAGTGGGGGGAATGGCGGGTAGGGGAAAAGGTACAAGTTGCGGCATTGTATGCATACGTGGTGAGAAGTGGGACGGCATCACGCGCAGCTGGCACAACCGATCGTATGCTCAGTCGGTGAGAAACTACTGGGTGAGGGAGGTGGCTTATGACAGATAGGTTCTCCTTCCCCATGGTGGCAATACCTGAGAAGTGGGACGGCTTCACTCGCAGCTCTAATACTGGACGCGATAGTATCGAGGAGAATCTTAGTGCTGCTTTATACACCTGTTGCCATGCATCCTTGGTCCCTTTCCTCCATGCTGCTTTATGCATGTGGGCCTGCTGGTGATGAACGATATTTTTCTGTTGGTATCAAGGATGTGATACATCTCATGCTAGATTATATATATCTATTGTAACATGCTCGACTAGTATATTAGCTAGGTGTACACCAACCTGTGGTGTACACATCAAAGTGCAAGGGGTGTTAGTCCAACCCCGGAGTGGTTGGAGCCCCTGAACACCAAGACCACAAGATTGGGGCCACGCAAGTGGCTCCCATGGTGGTTGGGTACTGTTCCTACCCAACTGCATGTGGCACTGTTCATCCTTCTCTTGCTAGCTTCCCTTCCTTCCCAACTTTCCTATGTATGCTCCTGTTTCTATTACTCAAACAACTTCTTGAATTCTTTCATCTCATACTGCTGGTGTCTTAACCCCATTCCGTCCCCCATAATGCATGTCATACTGTATCTCATTCGGATGGGTTGACATTGATGGACGAGATTCGTCTGCTGGGTGGGGACAGAGGGTCAGGACTCATGACAGAGGTGATATAGGTTAGCGGAGAATATTGCATCTTATAACGGGTATTAGCTCTCCCTTACCCCTGACCAGTGTACCGCCCGGATGGTCATGGACGAGATTCACCTGCTGGGCCAGGACAGGGGGCCAGTGTTAGGTGATAGTGTCGAGGATACAACCCATTTTTCTACATTGCTCGCACCTCTCATTGCCTCAATCAACCCCCTTCTGTCATGCTATCTCGTGCAGGTGGGGCTGATGGTCATGGACGAGATTCACCTGCTGGGCCAGGCAGGATACAGGGCTTTTGAGGCGCCTCAAAAGTCACCTGCTGGGGCAGGCAGGACACAGGGCTGGCACTGAAGTGATAGTGTTGGGGATGCGGTACAACCTGTGCTGCCACGTCACATCGCTCGCACCTCTCGTTGTCCCAACACCCCTCCCCTTGTGCTATCTCATGCAGGTGGGGCTGATGGTCATGGACGAGATTCACCTGCTGGGCCAGGACAGAGGGCCAGTACTGGAGGTGATAGTATCGAGGATGAGATACATCTCTGCCCGCACTGCCCGCCCCATCCGCTTCCTCGGGCTCTCCACTGCGCTTGCCAATGCCAGGTGCGTTTTGCACTCCGGCAACAGATCTACTACCAGATGGACCTGCAGGTACACCTGCCAGATGTTTCGGCTTAGTACTGCCCACCCCGTCTGCTTCTTCGGCCTCTCCACCACCCTCGCCAACGCCAGGTGTGATCAGGCTATCGGTTACATCGTTACGCCCGTTGTCATGCAACAACTGGTGCTGTTGTTTGCACAATATCCCACAGGCTAGAGCTGGCTTGGAATAGAGCGGGTAGGTCTCTATAACTTCAAGCCAAGCGTGCGACCTGGCTGACTGGCGGGTAGTAGAGCAAGTGGGCCTCGTCACCTTCAAGCCGCCTGTGTGAGCATCCCGTGCATGTACATGTGCGCATCCACGGGTACCTTGGAAATCTCCACGGCCGCTTTTCATCCCTAATACCCTTGCTTCCCCCCTCTCCCTCATTCTCGATCCCCTCTCCCTCATTCTCATTCCCCTCTCCCAGGGACTTGGCTGACTGGCTGGGGATAGAGCGAGTGGGCCTCTTCAACTTCAAGCCCAGCGTGCGGCCGGTGCCGCTAGACGTGCACATCCAGGGGTACCCCGGCAAGTTCTACTGCCCGCGCATGAACGCCATGAACAAGCCGCTCTACGCCGCCATCCTCACACACTCGCCCGTCAAGCCCGTGCTCGTGTTCGTGTCTTCGAGGCGGCAGACCCGGCTCACTGCGCTCGATTTGATTCAGGTGAGGTGTAACGCGCAGTACCCAAACCCATCTATGACGCCATCCTCAACCACTCGCCCGTCAAGCCAGTGCTCATACATGAGACCTGATTTCCTTCGTTTCCGCCGGGACGCAGCTGAAGCCGAGGTTCCTTTTGAGTCTGCCTAATCTGCTTCGGGGCTTTCTGCGCCTCACCTGTCAATATGCAGCAGTGGACAAGCGCCCCCGCCAGTATTTGCAGGGGGGGAGGAGGAGATGAATAGAGGGCTATGTGGGGATGGCAGTGCGGCTGGGGTTTGCATGTGATGTCTATTTTTTTGGCGCCTCAAAAAGAGGGCTATGTGGGGATGGCAGTGCGGCTGGGGTTTGCATGTGATGTCTATTTTTTTGGCGCCTCAAAAAGAGGGCTATGTGGGGATGACATTGCGGCTGGGGTTTGCATGTGGCGTTCTTCAAAAGAGGATCCTTTCCCAATTTCTCCCTTTCCCCTATGTCGGCCTCCTATTGCCCCCAATCAGTATGCTGCAGCGGACGAGCGGCCGCGGCAGTTCGTGAAGGGGGGGGAGGAGGAGATGGAGAACCGTGCAGGCATGGCAGTGTGTGTGGCTGGGATTTCCCTTCAAAGTCTCCCCCCTTCCCCTCCTTGTTTTCCCTCCCCATTTCTCCCTCCGCACGCCCCTGTCGCTCCCTTCTACCCAATCATTACATACCAGCGGGCGAGCAGCCGCGGCAGTTCGTGAACGGGGAAGAGTAGGAGATGGAGGCGCATGTGGCCATGGCAGTGCGCTTAGGCCTTCTGTTGCTTGTGTTTGTGTAGATCTCTCCTTCCCCTATGCCTACCTTCGCTGCCTCTAATCAGTACGCAGCAGCAGATGAGCGCCCCCGGCAGTTTGTGCACGCGGGGAGGAGGAGATGGAGGAGTACGTGGAGATGGCATCCTCAGCAGAGCTCAAGCACGCGCTGCAGTTTGGCATCGGGCTGCACCACGCTGGGCTGACGCAGGGGGACCGGTCACTTGTGGAGACGTTGTTTGCTGAGCGGAAGATTCAGGTAATTGTGTCCAGTAGTTGTGTGGTAACCATGTGGTAACCACAACCACACATTGGAGTTTGGCATCGGGCTGCACCACGCTGAGCTGACGCAGGGGGACAGATCACTAGTGACGACCCTCTTTGCCGAGAGGAAGATGGAGGTAACTGCGTGGTAGTTGTGTGGTAACGGTGTGGTAACCATATGGTACCCATGTGATAGCCACGTGATAGCCATGTGATAAGCATGTGATAGCCGTGTGGTAACCATGTGATAGCCGTGTTGTAACCATGTTGTAGTAGCCATGCGGTAGCCATGGATCGCCATGTGGTAACCATGTGATACCACTCGTCTATATTGCCATCCCCTCACAGGTTCTGGTGTGCACATCCACCCTGGCATGGAGTTTCACTGTCAATCTCTGGGCGCACCTGGTGGTGGTAAAGGGCACGGAGCACTTCTCCTGCCCCCGCTCCCCTTCGCATTCCCCTCCCTCTTGCATCCCCGTCCAGGTGCTTGTCTGCACATCTACCCTAGCGTGGGGCGTCAACCTGCCAGCGCACCTGGTGGTGGTGAAGGGCACAGAGTACTGCACTTGACCCCCTAGCCTTCGGTAAAATTCCTCTTCCTTCTGACGCCCTTCCAGGTGCTCGTGTGCACATCCACACTTGCGTGGGGTGTGAACCTGCCGGCGCACCTGGTGGTGGTGAAGGGCACGGAGTACTTCGACGGCAAGCAGAAGCGCTATGTGGAGATGCCCATCACCGACGTGCTACAGATGATGGGCGGGCGGGCCGGCCGCAGTTTGACAATGAGGCCAAGGCAGTCATTCTGGTGCACGAGCCGAAGAAGAGCTTCTACAAGAAGGTGAGGAGGTTGGGGGTTCAGGAGGAAACGACGAGCTTCTACAAGAGGTGAGGGGGGAAGGGGCGGAAGCGGTATGTGGAGTGGAAATGCCCGTCATGGTCGTGCTGCACATGATGGGGCGGGCCGCGGGCGGGCCGACCATATTTCGACAGCGAGGCCTGTGCGGTAATTCTGGTGCACGAGCCCAGAAGAGCTTCTATACGAAAGTGAGGAAGAGGGGCAGGGGGCAGGAGAGGAACATGGGAAACATGTGGGAAAACCAGGCCGGTGTGGTCCTGATTCACGGCTCGAAGAAGGGCTTTTCCAAGAAGGTGAGGAATGCTGTAATGTATATATATATACAACATGCATGCCTAGATTAGGAGGTGTGGTCATTATGTTTATTGGGGGGGAGTTGGTTGGGTTGAACAACCCCACATTTGGGTTGGTCAAGTTTAGATTTGGTCCTAGACATTTGGTTGGCACTATTCCAACCAAATGGTCTTAAGAACCAACCAATCACCAAGCACCACACTTTGTGGTTGCTTGCCTTCCAAGCAACCTCTCCCATTGGTCCACTTTATGGCCAATAGGAGAGCTTCCCTTCCAACTCTTCCTTGCTCCTTGTTTGTACAGTAGAGCCTGTTGGCTCCCTTCTCAATTCACTCTTTTCTCCTCAAAGCTACTTCCTTCAAGGAAAAGGGGCAGGGGAGGGGCAGAAGCTATAGGGGCAGAGGCGGTATGTGGAGATAGATGCCCATCACCGACTTGCTGCAGACGATGGGGCGGGCAAGCCGGGTGAGAGATTTTTTAGAATTCTAAGAAATCTCTCACAAGAATTCTAGGAAATCTCTCACAAGAATTCTAAAAAAAATCTCACAAGAATTCTCAAACATCTCTGGTAGGGGGGGTCGGAAGCTTTAGGGGCAGAGGCAGTATGTGGAGATGGATGGTGGCCCATCACCGCCGTGCCACAGATGGTGGGGCAGGCGGGCCAACGGCAGTTTGACAATGAGGCCAAGGCGGTGATCCTGGTGCACGAAACCAAGAAGCGCTTCTATAAGAAGGTGAAAGGGCGGTAGATGGATCACTGATAGATCCTCCACATGACGGGGCGCGTGGGGCGACCACATCTGCCATAAGAAACCTCATGCTGTCGAAATCTCCCTTCATCTTATGCTCGCAGTGGAGGTTCAAGCGACCAATGTAGACGGCTCGAGCGCTGACAGGGAAGGGGACGTGTTACCATAGCAGTGTGCAAGAAACTTTTCACAACCCCGCTCGTCCTCTATCTCGCAGTTCCTGTACGAGCCATTCCCAATGGAGTCCTCTCTGCACCTCGTGCTGCATGACCACCTGAACGCAAAAGTGGCGGGCGGCAGCATCGCCAGCGTGCAGGATGCCATGGGTTACCTCGCCCCATTCATCCTTCCCCTCCTTCTCCCCTTCCCTTTTTCTCTCTCCACCATAGTTCCTTACGACCCTTCCCCAGTGGAGTCCTCCCTGCACCTCGTGCTACACGATCCGAGGTGGCAGGGGGGGCAGGGCAGGGTGATTGGACTACCTCACTCATCCTGTTCTTACAACCTCCCCACCACTCCCCCCCCCAACCCCCCCTGCACCCCAGTTCCTGTACGAGCCGTTCCCAGTGGAGTCCTCCCTGCACCTCGTGCTGCACGATCACCTGAATGCAGAGGTGGCGGGCGGCAGCATCGCCAGTGTGCAGGACGCCATGGACTACCTCACCTGGACCTTCTTCTTCCGCCGCCTGCTCTGCAACCCCTCCTTCTACGGCCTCTCTGACACCAGTGCTGAGTCGATCAACGTGTTCCTCTCGGAGTAAGAGCCTGTGGATTCACGCATTAACAGACCTGGAATCTGTCCAATAGTAATGTGTTGAGCAACTTGCTTTGGTTTGGACTGCCTCACCTGGACCGCCTCTTCCGCCACCTATTGTATCACCCGTCCTTTGACAAGCTCTTGAATACCAGTGCTGAGTTGTTCGACGCTTTCCTCCCAGAGTGAGATTCCCTTGGATCCTCTGATGCTTTAGGGTTTCGGGTGTAATGATCGCCTTGTCCTTGCATGCCGCATCCCTTGTCTTCGGCAGCCTCGTCAGCTGCACTATGACTAATCTAGGTGCTGCTGGGTCCAATGCGCTGCATGAGGACAGCAGTGTGGATCCTCTACCCCTTCTGGCACTCTCTGTGGTTACCTTGTCAACTCATCCCTCCCTTGCTCCCTCCTGCAGCCTCGTGAGCCGCACTCTGGCGGACCTGGATGCAGCCGGGTGTATCGCCCTGCATGAGGACGGCAGTGTGGATCCGCTGCCGCCCGGACTGATCGCCTCGCAGTACTACCTGCACTTCACCACCGCCGCACTGTTCACCGCCAATCTCACTTCGCCGGCCGCTGCTGCGGGCGTGACGCTGGAGACCGTGCTGCATGTGCTGTGCGGTGCTGCTGAGTTCGATGAGCTTCCAGTCAGGCACAACGAGGTGAGAGGGGGTTGATTATGGTGCATTGCGGTGACAGTGATTCAGTAATGCCATCTACTGTCGCGGGTGTTAACGGGTGTGATGCTCGAGACTGCGCTGCATGTGCTGTGTGGTGCTGCTGAGTTCAATGAACTGCCAGTCAGGCACAACGAGGTGAGAGTTGTTTACATATGGTGCAATACAGCGAGGTGAGAGTTGTTTACATATGGTGCAATACAGCGAGGTGAGAGTTGTTTACATATGGTGCAATACAGCGAGGTGAGAGTCGTTTACATATGGTGCAATACAGCGAGGTGAGAGTTGTTTACATATGGTGCAATACAGCGAGGTGAGAGTTGTTTACATATGGTGCAATACAGCGAGGTGAGAGTCGTTTACATATGGTGCAATACAGCGAGGTGAGAGTTGTTTACATATGGTGCAATACAGCGAGGTGAGAGTTCTTTACATATGGTGCAATACAGCGAGGTGAGAGTTGTTTACATATGGTGCAATACAGCGAGGTGAGAGTCGTTTACATATGGTGCAATACAGCGAGGTGAGAGTTGTTTACATATGGTGCAATACAGCGAGGTGAGAGTTGTTTACATATGGTGGCAATACAGCGAGGTGAGAGTTGTTTTCATATGGTGCAATACAGCGAGGTGAGAGTTGTTTATACACTGAGAGTTGTTTACATATGGTGCAATACAGCGAGGTGAGAGTTTTTTACATATGGTGCAATACAGCGAGGTGAGAGTTGTTTACATATGGTGCAATACAGCGAGGTGAGAGTTGTTTACATATGGTGCAATACAGCGAGGTGAGAGTTGTTTACATATGGTGCAATACAGCGAGGTGAGAGTTGTTTACATATGGTGCAATACAGCGAGGTGAGAGTTGTTTACATATGGTGCAATACAGCGAGGTGAGAGTTGTTTACATATGGTGCAATACAGCGAGGTGAGAGTTGTTTACATATGGTGCAATACAGCGAGGTGAGAGTTGTTTACATATGGTGCAATACAGCGAGGTGAGAGTTGTTTACATATGGTGCAATACAGCGAGGTGAGAGTTGTTTACATATGGTGCAATACAGCGAGGTGAGAGTTGTTTACATATGGTGCAATACAGCGAGGTGAGAGTTGTTTACATATGGTGCAATACAGCGAGGTGAGAGTTGTTTACATATGGTGCAATACAGCGAGGTGAGAGTTGTTTACATATGGTGCAATACAGCGAGGTGAGAGTTGTTTACATATGGTGCAATACAGCGAGGTGAGAGTTGTTTACATATGGTGCAATACAGCGAGGTGAGAGTTGTTTACATATGGTGCAATACAGCGAGGTGAGAGTTGTTTACATATGGTGCAATACAGCGAGGTGAGAGTTGTTTACATATGGTGCAATACAGCGAGGTGAGAGTTGTTTACATATGGTGCAATACAGCGAGGTGAGAGTTGTTTACATATGGTGCAATACAGCGAGGTGAGAGTCGTTTACATATGGTGCAATACAGCGAGGTGAGAGTTGTTTACATATAGTGCAATACAGCGAGGTGAGAGTTCTTTACATATGGTGCAATACAGCGAGGTGAGAGTCGTTTACATATGGTGCAATACAGCGAGGTGAGAGTCGTTTACATATGGTGCAATACAGCGAGGTGAGAGTTGTTTACATATGGTGCAATACAGCGAGGTGAGAGTCGTTTACATATGGTGCAATACAGCGAGGTGAGAGTTGTTTACATATGGTGCAATACAGCGAGGTGAGAGTTCTTTACATATGGTGCAATACAGCGAGGTGAGAGTCGTTTACATATGGTGCAATACAGCAAGGTGAGAGTTGTTTACATATAGTGCAATACAGCGAGGTGAGAGTTCTTTACATATGGTGCAATACAGCGAGGTGAGAGTCGTTTACATATGGTGCAATACAGCGAGGTGAGAGTCGTTTACATATGGTGCAATACAGCAAGGTGAGAGTTCTTTACATATGGTGCAATACAGCGAGGTGAGAGTTGTTTACATATGGTGCAATACAGCGAGGTGAGATTTGTTTACATATGGTGCAATACAGCGAGGTGAGAGTTGTTTACATATGGTGCATTACAGCGAGGTGAGAGTCGTTTACATCTGGTGCAATACAGCGAGGTGAAAGTTGTTTACATATGGTGCATTACAGCAAGGTGAGAGTCGTTTACATATGGTGCAATACAGCGAGGTGAGAGTTGTTTACATATGGTGCAATACAGCGAGGTGAGAGTTGTTTACATATGGTGCAATACAGCGAGGTGAGAGTTGTTTACATATGGTGCAATACAGCGAGGTGAGAGTTGTTTACATCTGGTGCAATACAGCGAGGTGAGAGTTGTTTACATATGGTGCAATACAGCGAGGTGAGAGTTGTTTACATATGGTGCATTACAGCGAGGTGAGAGTTGTTTACATCTGGTGCATTACAGCGATGGGGGTCCAATCTTGCTGTCTGCTGCTGCGGGTGTGACAGTAGAGCCGGTGATGCATATTCTGCCTGTCATGCATAATGAGGTGAGGGGGGTGATGTGCGGTCCAGTGCGGTGGCATGCAATCAGGCAGGATGCTCTGTGTCAGGTGCTGTGTGCTGCTGCTGAGTGTGGAAAGCTCTCCATCAGGCAGAATGGGGCGCAATGCATCATGCCTTGCCTTGCACACCCCGCCCTTGCGCATTTCAGAATGGGGCGAGCAGGAGGGAAATGTGCAGGGGCAGTGTGCAATGCATGCAGTGCAAGGTTTCTTCCAAGGCACTGCCGGATCTAACCCTCTATGCAGAGGGGTAGTTTATTTGCTTATTGCTCGTATGGCAGTGCTGCATGGACTTCCCCTCTTGTCCATCTCGGTTTCCCTGCTCCAACTTTCTCCTCTCTGAAGTTTTGGCCAAGCATAACTCTTCTTTTTGCTCCTTTCCTTGCACTTCCCTGGCACTTTCCTTGCACTTTCCTTGCACCTTCCTTTGCACTTTCCTTGCACTTTCCTGTGCACTTTCTTGTGTTCTTGGCCGCTACAGGAGTTTGTCAACGCTGAGCTGGCGAAGCATGTGCGGTGGAAGGTGGACCATCGTACCTACGACGACCCGCACACCAAGACCAACCTGCTGCTGCAGGTGAGCCTGTCCGAGGTGAACCTATCGACCAACCTACTGCTGCAGGTGAGCCTGTCCCAGGTGAACCTATCGACCAACCTGCTGCTGCAGGGGAGCCTGTCCCAGGTGAACCTATCAACCATCCTTCTGCTGCAGGTGAGCCTGTCCCAGGTGAGCCTATCTGCCAGCTTATTTTTGCTCAAATTGAGATGACCATTGATTCGACCATCCTCACATGTACGACGACCCGCACACCGAGACCAAGCTGCTGCTGCAGGTGAGCTTAGGCGTGTGGTGCGGTGCGGTGAATGCAGCAATGCTCTCAGCTGTACCATTCGGGCCACTCTCTAAATTTCTTTTCAGGCGCCTCAAACGCACTCTCAGCTGTACCAAAACTAGACTCTCTAAATAACCTTTTTTACCCTCTTGGCCGCATCTTGCCCGTCTGCCCATGCCCATCATTTTTGAGGCGCCTCAAAAGACATCTCGCCTGTCTGCCCATGCCCATCAGTTTTGAGGCGCCTCAAAAGACATCTCGCCTGTCTGCCCATGCCCATCAGTTTTGAGGCGCCTCAAAAGACATCTCGCCTGTCTGCCCATGCCCATCAGTTTTGAGGCGCCTCAGAAGACATCTCGCCTGTCTGCCCATGCCCATCAGTTTTGAGGCGCCTCAAAAGACATCTCGCCCGTCTGCCCATGCCCATCAGTTTTGAGGCGCCTCAAAAGACCTCTCGCCCATCTGCCCATGCCCATCAGTTTTGAGGCGCCTCAAGAGACATCTCGCCCGGCTGCCCATGCCCATCAGTGACTGTGCGACGACCTCAAGAGTGTGCTGGGAGGCTCACTACCTCTCTTGTATGGTGTTTCCCATTGCACACATCGCTTCCTTCCAGGCGCACTTCTCCCGCCTGGCCATGCCCATGAGCGACTATGAAACGGACCTCAAGAGTGTGCTCGACCAGACAATGCGCGTGCTGCAGGCGATGATCGACACAGCCGCTACAGCCGGCAGGCTACAGCCTTCCCTGCTGACAATGCATCTCACTCAGATGGTGATTCAGGTGAGAGGTGCCTGAGAGATATTCTATCTAAGACGATGCATGTTGTAAAGAGTGTGTTGGTCAGACGATGCGGGTGCTGCAGGTAATGACCGACACCGCTGCTACAGCCGGCAGGCTACAGCTGGCAGGCTGCAGCCAGCAGGCTACAGCTGGCAGGCTACAGCTGGCAGGCTACAGCCGGCAGACTGCAGCTGGCAGGCTGCAGCCGGCTTTCTTGAACATGCGCCTCACTCAGATGCTGATTCAGGTGAAGGTCTCCTGATTCAGGTGAAGGTCATCTGATTCAGGTGAAGGTCTCCTGATTCAGGTGAAGGTCTCCTGATTCAGGTGAAGGTCATCTGATTCAGGTGAAGGTCTCCTGATTCAGGTGAAGGTCTCCTGATTCAGGTGAAGGTCTCCTGATTCAGGTGAAGGTCTCCTGATTCAGGTGAAGGTCTCCTGATTCAGGTGAAGGTCTCCTGATTCAGGTGAAGGTCATCATACTATTCTACAGAAAAAATACTCAATTCTTCATCAGACACTTCATCTGTTTGCCCACCCCCTCTCCCCCACTACCCTCTCCCCTCACTACCCCCACTACCCCCTCTCCCCCACTACCCCCTCTCCCCCACTACCCCCTCTCCCCCACTACCCCTCTCCCCCACTACCCCTCTCCCCCACTACCCCCTCTCCCCTCACTACCCCACTACCCCTCTCCCCCCTACCCCTCTCCCCCTACCCCTCTCCCCCACTACCCTCTCCCCCCACTACCCCTCTCCCCCACTACCCCTCTCCCCCACTACCCCCTCTCCCCCACTACCCCCTCTCCCCTCCTTCCCAACCCTCTCGCATGTGCACTCGTGTTTTGATGGTGCCTCAAAACTAGACCCGTTTTCGTATCCAGCCTGCCCATCCTTTACACGCAAGCTGGCCTTATATCCCCCTCTCCTCTCTCCATCCCCTCCCTCCTCTCTCAACCCCTCCCTCCTCTCTCATCTCCTTCGCCCCTCTCTCTCAGGCTGTCTGGTACGACCTCGGCTCGCCCCTTGCGATGCTGCCACATGTCACGCCCTCATTGGAGGAGGCCCTGTCAGCTGCCAGGCTGGCATCACTATCCTCCCTGCTGACTGCCTCGCCGCACCACCTCCGCCAGCTGCTCTCCTCCCACCTCTCGCCCTCTGCTCGTGCCAACTTCCTCCAGGTGTGTGGCCAACTTCCTCCAGGTGTTTGGCCAACTTCCTCCAGGTGTGTGGCCAACTTCCTCCAGGTGTGTGGCCAACTTCCTCCAGGTGTGTGGCCAACTTCCTCCAGGTGTGTGGCCAACTTCCTCCAGGTGTGTGGCCAACTTCCTCCAGGTGTGTGGCCAACTTCCTCCAGGTGTGTGAGTTTCTTGTTTGATGCGCGCATCAACACAGAACGCTCTCCTCCCACCCCGCACCCCCTGTGTGGCGAATTTTTTCAGCCATGTTTTGGAACGCCTCAGGTTGCACCTGCACTGATCTAGCTGCTCTGTTCTGGAACGCACCAAGCTCCTGTGTTTCATGCTGACCTGCATCAGCCTGCATCAGATTTCGTCCTCTCTCTGGCTGGTTCTCCCCCTTTTCCACTCTGCCATCAGAGCTTATTTCTTCCGTGTTCTTTCTTTCCGCTGTTCTTCACCGCATCTGTCATTTGTTCCGTTCCGTGTTCTCCCCAATTCCTCTTTTTCTTCTCCTTTTGCCCTTGCCCTCCATTTATTTGGTCCCTCCTGCTGCGCCCCCCATCCCCATCTCTGGGCTTTCCCCAACCCCCTGTCTCTCAGGCTCTGGGAATGCTGCCTCGGGTCTCCGTGTCAGTGCGAATGATGCCGTCACAAGCCAAGTCTGCTTCTGCTCCTTCAGCGTCAACGGCAGCAGTGGTGGTGGAAGTGTCGCTGCGTCGCTCTCGACCGTACCAGCCGCACTCCCTGCGAGCACACACGCCCTTCTTCCCCAAGGTGTGTTGCGGCTGGGGCTGGAAGCGCACTCCGTGTGCACATGCACCCCTCTGCGAATCACACTCACTGCGTGCGAGCACACCCTTGCTTCCCCAAGGCACTACGCTGCTACTTGCTTAGTCACTCCATGAGCGTGCGTCTCACAGTGCTGCGTTCTGGGTGTAGGCAACGGAATGTGCATTGTCGGCAGAGTCGATTCTTAAAACACTCTTCCCCCTTCCCCGGTGATGCCTCTTGGGGTTCCCCTTGCAGGTGAAGGAGGAGGGGTGGTGGGTGGTGCTAGCAGCTGCAGACAACTCTTCGTTGCTCGCTCTCAAGCGTGTCTCGTTCACTCACCGCCTCACCACTCGCCTCCACGTACCAGAGCTGCAGGCCTCAACGAAACAGGTAGTCTCCTGAGCTAGCTCAACTCCTTCCACTCCTCACAGGCTCGCAACCCGCCTTCACATGCACAGCCTCCGGCATCATAGCAACAGGTATCCGGTAAACTGCTGTACTTTTGTTTCCGTCGACAGCTATCTATATCCTATTTGCGCTCCTTATGTTGCTCAACAGGTCTCCTTTTGCTCCTCCTTTTTGTGTGACAAGATTATCATCACACGCGTTCCTTAAGGTGCTCCAAAGCATCCCTTTCATTCCACATTTTTCCCTTCTGTCTCGATTATGTGCTTCTCACCTTCTCGCACTCATCTTCTCCCGCCTTTGCCCCCTCACTCCCTTGTCCGTCCACCCCCGTCCAGCTGTCCGTGCATCTGATCTCCGACTGCTACGTCGGCCTAGACCAGCTGGTAACCGTATCAACAGATGGTGCTGTTACCGCACAGGGGACACCGGGGCATTATGTGATAGAGCATGCAGGATTCACAATGGCAGCAGTTGCGGCTGGGGGAGAGAAGAAGAGGGAGCATGTGCTGGGAAGTGGGGAAGAAGTGAGTGAAGGGCGCCAGGAAGGTGTAAGAGCATTGGGAGGGGTGGGAGGTGATGGTGGGGGGGTTCCGGAAGAGGATGAAGATGAGTTCTTTGAAGCAGAAGGGTAGCCGGGCTTGAAAGGATGGCAGTGCAGTGACATGGGTGGAGTGCTTGTTTGTAGTGAATTTGAAGCAATGTTAGCTTGTTTCTATTATTACTACGGTGGCTCATGTAAAAGATTATGCTTGAAGATGTAAATGGACAACACTTTCTATGAAGAGGATTCAGATAAACACTTTTGAAGTTGTGAGATTCTTTAATTTCTTGTGAACAAGATGATATCGAAGTTCTTACGCGTGTGGCCGTGGCCCCCGGCAATTTGACACGGCAGAATCTGTGTGGGAGGACGAACATATTTGGTCGGTTATTTTGTTCTACAGTGTGGTTCAGTGTGGTACCCGCCTCAATTCCCTCGAAACCGTCTGTGGAACGGACGGTGAAGCCTCTGTGCTGCTGGCAACATCCTCGCCATTTATTTTCTCCACTGAAGTCCAAGTTGTGAGCAGGAAAAGTAGGCACTTCAAGCCGCGTCTCGGCAGCCCGGTAAACTTCGATGTTCCCCCACACGCACAAGCTATCTCACGCCTCTCTGTTGCCTTGGAGGCCGCTTTTTGTTGTCCAGCTAGACTTGCTTGCCGTGGAGAGTAAGGCCGATCTCGTGAGAAACCCACATTGAAGTTGATCGCGGAACTTCAAATCGCTTCGATATTATTGCTAAGGTCCCCGTTACGAGGCCAAACGGCACTATCATGTGCTAATCTTGTCACGAAGAACTCGTTTCCCCAACGTCTCTCAGCTAAACGATTCAGTCAATGGCACTTCGCTGCTGTAGAGAGAGGATCTTGCAGACAATCCAAGTCAGCTCCACAGTTCGACGATTAACGAGCGTGAAACCGATCCAATCGATCAGCAGACCGTTGTCGCAGCCACAATCCGGCTTAGTAGCGCCGAACGACGTCGGTCCTTCACCTTGGAACGGATTTATTAGACGGATCCACTCAAGCAGCAGATCCCCGTCGCAGCCGCAGATCGGCTTGGAGCAGATCACCGAACGGCTGAGCGGATCTGAGAGTCATTCCCGGCTGAACGGGTTCGTGCAGTGGTACCTCAGATGCCTCGACTCCCGGCCCGTAATCACTAAGAGCATCACCGCTGCCATTATATTCGGCGCTGCTGACGTCACATCGCAGGCACGTGCTCCATTCCGTACATTCTCGCTCCCCTCTCATCGTGAATATCTTGATTTTCCTGCCTTCTGTTTCGCGAGAAGCCCGCTAATTCCCGTTGAGATGACGGCAGGAGGTACGTGAACATTCAATAGTAATCTTTGGCGGCAAAGTGCTCGCTGATGTAATGGTTGTGCTTTCTGGGACTCCTTTCCTGAGATTCCTCGTTTCCTGGGGCTCCTCTCTTGGAGGAAACCAGTTGGAACTGATTGGATCTTACTCGTTTAACATCTCGTGTGGTCCTTTGACGTCTTCAACCATTGCCAGTACTCGCCAGCTTCTAAGTTGCACTAGGTCATCAGCTGTAACCAAGAGATTAAACATTCTGCCCTTTGATTTTCCCTCTCCATGTTGTATCCTCTCCATCTCCTCCTTTCTTCTTCGCTTCAGAAGCTCTCTCACTCCATCCTTGACCCACCCGCCACGTCATCGTCGGACGAAAGTACAGATCAGCAGCTACAGTGGGACGCGTTCCGCACGGCTCGCATGGCAGCAGCGGGTCTCTTGCTATCAGGCCCCACACTCCACCTGTGGTTCACCAGAATCGCCAGGGTTATTCCAGGGACGGATGTTCCCAGAGTGCTGCTGAAGATAGCTGCGGGCCAGGTGCTGTTTGCGCCTGTCTTCAACTCAGTGTTCTTCTCAGCCAATGCTGCCCTTCAAGGTAGGAACCCACGAGATTGGGCTTATGTTACCCACACTCCACGGTCCAACTGTGGCGTTCTCGCATCGCCAGAGCTATTCCAGGAACAGGAACAGATTCCCATGTGCCTATCAAGGTAACCATGGATCAGCTGCTAAAAGGACCTGTCTTCAGGTCCGTTCTCTTCTCGGATACTGCTGCTATTCATGGTAGGGTAACGGGACTACTGTAACACGCCCACATCGCATTTGTGCTTTGCATCCATTGTCAGAGATTTTCTTCTAGGAGACGTATGCTTAGGCATACAGGTCACTTGCGTCATGGACTGCTTTTATGAGTTACTTTGTTCTCAGGATTGTGAGGCATCATCAACCCTGTGTCACACATGGTTGTTCCTCTATCGCATGTTCCTTCCTAAATCGCAGGCGAGAATCGGGAGCAGATTGTTGCTCGCCTGAGAAGAGATCTGCTACCAACCCTGATAAGTGGTGCTTGCTACTGGCCCATATGTGACTTCATCACATTCCGCTACGTCCCCGTCAGACTACAGGTGAAATTCAGGGCTGAATCTAGACCACGCCTATCATTTCCTGGATGATTAATTTCAGATATATCCACTATTCTTTTCAAGCATCATGCTTGTGCCCTCTCTTCCGCTTGCTGCTGCTTCTGTATGTCCCTCACTGCTCCTTCATGTGCCCTCATTTTCCCCCATGTCTGCTGCGTTTTTGTGCTGTCTCTTCTGCAGGTGCTGACCAGCAACACTGCTGCTTTCTTTTGGACCATTTATGTAACTTACAAGGCCAGCTTGGCTCCTGCAGCTGCTCCTGAATTGCAGGACAGCCAAGAGCACTAGCACACAACTGAGAGCGCCGCTCAAGATTGCTTTGATTTCCACAAGCAACCGATTTTTCAGCCTGCGGTGAAAGAAAATGCTGCATGTCAAGCTTGTGCTCTAGTCTGATCCTATTAGTTCCTTGTACAGAATCTCGTTATGTAAAACATGGTGGTGGTGACACATCATCTCATTGCTGTAAGCTGATGGCTCCCCCCCAATACGGGTCCTCATGCTACTGAGCAACTTACTCAACTGTGGTAACGAGGAGCCATTTCCTTTTGTGGGAAACATATCCTGAGCCATTGTTTCACTACTTTTTGCCCCCTTGGAAACAATTGTAAACATGAATCTTTTACAACGTGATTGCTGATTTCGTGAATTCACCTTAGCTGCTATCCTTAAATATAACCCTTTTATCCTGTAACGAGTATCTTATGAGGGCAGCAGAACATCAATCGCTTCACTCACTCATCACCGTCTTTCGTCCAAGCGTCAGCGTCAGTCGAAGGACGGCTACGTCGGTCCACTATTTTTCTAACTCCGTGTTGACTGGATTCGCGTTGACTCTTGGACCCAGTCAGCGCAAGAAAAATCGTCGCTGCAGTCATAAACACGCCGCGTCAACCCGTTTCACAGCATTACGCAACTGCCGGCTTAGTAGGCTCATCGGAGCGTCGACGATGGCAGCAGAAGTAGAAATAGCGAATGGAACGACGCATTACTAATGCGTGGTACTCACAGCTGTCTGGTCAGCCATCATTTCACGCGGCCGTCGAATATCCCTGGGACATCTCGCCTCTGGCAAGATAGGAAGAGTCTCTTCCACTCGCACCGTCTCCTCGCCCTTGTGCGAGACGCCCTAGCGTCTACCCCTCAGCCTTTCCGCCGCTCATCTGCCGCCACAACGAAGGAGGGCGAAACAGAGTCCTTAGGAAATAGTCTTTAGGCGGCCTCGCTGCTTGCGATCACCCAGCGACTTTAAGAGTTATTGTATTCCACTTGAAACCCGCTTCTAGTCCTCTCCCCCTCCCGCCATGGCGCCGCGTCTCGGTTGGTCGCGCCTCGTCCCCGCGCTCACGCTCGTGGCGCTCCTCTGCTTCGCGCGCGTCGATCACGTCGCGTGCAACGCGCGCTCGTTCGGCCTTCCGCGTCTCGCGGGGCGGTTCGGCGGCTTGGCCGGGGGATCGGGTTGGTCCTTCTTCCGCCCCCCTGGGACAGGCAGCGGCGGCGGAAGTGGCGCGACGCGCGGCGGGCAGAACGGGCAGGGCGGGTTTGGTGGGGGAATGAGCGGGCAGCCGGGTAGTGCGGGAGGAGGGGGAATGGGCGGAGGAGGCATGGGCGGAGGAGGCATTGGCGGAGGGGGCATGGGCGGAGGCGGCATGGGCGGAGTGGCATGGGCGGAGGGGGGATGGGCGGAGGGGGGATGGGCGGAGGGGGCATGGGCGGAGGTAGCATGGGCGGAGGAGGCATGGGCGGAGGGGGCATGGGCGGAGGAGGCATGGGCGGAGGAGGCATGGGCGGAGGGGGCATGGGCGGAGGAGGCATGGGCAGAGGGGGCATGGGGGAGGGGGCATGGGGGGAGGAGGTATGGGGGGAGGCGGCATGGGGGGAGGGGGCATGGGGGGAGGGGGCATGGGGGAAGGTGGCATGAGGGGAGGCGGCATGGGGGGAGGCGGCATGGGGGGAGGCGGCGGGTCATCAGGTGGGAGTGCGTGTGGCAACAGCAGCAGCAGCAGGAGCGGCAAGATGAGGTCCAGCAATGGGAAGAGGTGGGCATCCATCCATCCCTTGTGCCGCACTCCTCCCTCCCTACCCTGTGAGCTCCTTCTGTGCATGCGACAGTTCTTCCCTTGGCTCCATCCGCGTCTGTCCACGCTGCTGTTCACCACCCCGTACCTCCTCTCTCGTCGCCCTGCCTCTCCTCCCCTCTTCACCATGCCCTCTTCACCATGCCCTCTTCACCATGCCCTCTTCACCATGCCCTCTTCACCATGCCCTCTTCACCATGCCCTCTTCACCATGCCCTCTAGTAGTGCCGTTCTGGATTACTCGTGTTCAGTTTGTACTCATGCTGACTGGTCGTCGGACCATTGCTTCAGAGGTTGGACTAGTAGTGCCATCCTTAGCTGCGTGTCCAGTGCTAGTCACTGCCCCTTGTCTAACCCAAGGGGTGTGTCAAAATATATTTTGTATATGTTATAGGCTAGATAAGTGCATGCTCATATAGAGTACAACACCATAAGTTATATTCCATTCTAGTAAAACACTTTCTACTCTGAGACGAGCTTCAGCGAATGCTTCTTTGCTCTACAAGCCGGGCTGATTTCCTAACAGCGCGAGCTCTTTTTGTCGCACACCACTGCCATCCTCCTTTTGAAACCACATGTGAACATCATCAAGCACCTTCACCACCCTAGGCACATCTGCTACAGCAGTGGAAAGGCGGTCGCCCTTGCTTAACACAAGGTGGTAGCGGAGGGAGCAGGCAGAGGCGAGGACGTGGAAGACGGTCACAAAGCTCTCCTCTGGCCGAATCTCAAAGACCGAAGTTCCTTCTGGCATGAAGATCATGTTGGTGAGGGCCGCTCCATGGCCTCCTATGAAGAACCGTGCTCGCCGAAAGAGCTCACGGGCTAAGAGTGTGTGTGGGGGCACAGGATGGGAGACAGAAATGGAGAGGGGGTGAAGGATTTATGGGGCCTTTAAGGCATGAGGAATGCTGCAAGACAGCATGCTTTGAAAGCTGTATGTGTGTGCTTTTATTAATTCTTGCAGATGAAAGAAACACCGAAACAGCCATGCACACCTGGCATGGAGACCATGCCAACGCCAACAGCAATGGAACATGTGTTAGGCTCACCTTGCAGGATCGAGAGTGATCCATCGTACACCACCACTCTCTCGCGCCCGAACCGACGCACCGTCTCCTCCTCCACCTCCCGGAAATTCACGAGTGATCTCGTCTTCCCCTCCGGGCGCTTTGCCAGCACCACCACCCAGTCCGAGGGAAAGGCGCGTGCCTGGGAGGCGGAGAGCGGGCGTTGGTGACGATAGGTCCAGTCGGGGTGGAAGAGAGGGAGGCCAGCGGGGTGCAGCAGATGGCGACGCCGCAGCATACGCCAGAGAGCCTGGCTGGGATGGTCGCAGTCCTGGAACATGGGCTGGAGAGGAGGGAGGGGGGAAGGGAGAGGTGGGGGAGAATGGTGTGAGGAGAGATGTCTATTTTTGAGGCGCCTCAAAAATAGACTCCTCACGTGAGGAGAGATGGGGCAGGCAGAGTACTTTCAGCGGTATGCAAGAAAGAGGTGCTTTACACATTACACACTTGTATATCAGATCAATTTCTATCCAGGAATTGCCATTCAGGAATCATGACATGACGAAGGTATGATATGCCATGGCATAACGTGATATGCCATGGCATGGCAGCACAGGGCATGGCGTATGAGGACAGGTCTTACCTGGTACACTACGTCGGCATGAAAAAGGTCACCGACGAATGTGGGCAGCAGGCGAATTTGACCGGGCTGGATGCCGATGAGAGGAGCAGCCAGTTGCTCATAGAGAAGCCACTGTGGGGAATGGCACAGGAAATAGAAGAGATGGCAGGCGGGGTGTCAGGAAGCAGTGGGTGGGACCATGAACAATGCCAGTTGCTGATATGACTGCACCATAGGTGACTGACTGACAGCATCAGCATGCACTGTCAGCACTCACCTATCAGCATGCACTGTCAGCACTCACCTATCAGCATGCACTGTCAGCACTCACCTATCAGCACGCACTGTCAGCACTCACCTATCAGCATGCACTGTCAGCACTCACCTATCAGCATGCACTGACAGCACTCACCTATCAGCACGCACTGTCAGCACTCACCTATCAGCATGCACTGTCAGCACTCACCTATCAGCATGCACTGTCAGCACTCACCTATCAGCATGCACTGTCAGCATTCACCTATCAGCATGCACTGTCAGCACTCACCTGTCAGCATGCACTGTCAGCACTCACCTGTCAGCATGCACTGTCAGCACTCACCTATCAGCATGCGCTGTCAGCACTCACCTATCAGCATGCACTGTCAGCACTCACCTGTCAGCATGCACTGTCAGCACTCACCTATCAGCATGCACTGCCAGCACTCACCTGCTTCTGTCGCACGAGCCTGGGCACGCGCAGGTGTTGCAGCCTGGACCCCATGCGGGGCCCTGCCCTGCCCTGCCCTGCCCTGCCCTGCCCTGCCCTGCCCTGCCCTGCCCTGCCCTGCCCTGCCCTGCCCTGCCCTGCCCTGCCCTGCCCTGCCCTGCCCTGCCCTGCCCTGCCCTGCCCTGCCCTGCCCTGCCCTGCCCTGCCCTGCCCTGCCCTGCCCTGCCCTGCCCTGCCCTGCCCTGCCCTGCCCTACCCCGCCCTGCTAGAACGTTTAGTTTTGAGGCGCCGCACGAACGCCACTCACCTGCTTCTGTCGCACGAGCACAGGCAAATGTGGCAGCGTGGACGCCGTGAGGTGCGCTGCAATGCTGATCTCTGTTGAGGCTCCTCAACGCACACGTAGCACTCACCTGTGTGTGTCGCACCGCACCTGTGTGTGTCGCACCGCACCTGTGTGTGTCGCACCGCACCTGTGTGTGTCGCACCACACCTGTGTGTGTCGCACCGCACCTGTGTGTGTCGCACCGCACCTGTGTGTGTCGCACCGCACCTGTGTGTGTCGCACCGCACCTGTGTGTGTCGCACCGCACCTGTGTGTGTCGCACGAGCACAGTCAGGTGGCGCAGCGTGGACGCCATGAGGGGCGCCGCCACGACAAAGAGCGGAACGAGCTCCACCATGAAGTGGTAGAAGTTGCTGCCAGGCTGGTGCGCCCAGTTGAACACCGCCCTTGGCATCTCGTGCACCATGTGCTGCGGCTTGTACTTGGCCTGGCGGGGGGGAAGGTGGGGGGGGGAGGGAGTGGGGAAGGGGGGGGAGAGGGGTGCGGGTGGGGGGGGGAGGGGGTGGGGTACGCAGAATGCTGAATGAAAAATGGATGCGGGGGGAGAGAGATTAAGGTTGAGTGGAAACAGGGGGGAGCAAACCAATTGCAGCAGCTTGAGTTGCCTGGGTGCCGTGAGAGAGAGTGACGTAGTCCTTGAGTGAGACACATAGAGACTATGTACTGCAGTAACACGTGAGAAGCTCACCTTTCTATAGAATCGTTGGCACCCATTTCGCACGAACACGTGCGACTGGTTCACAGTGTAACCGTCATAGGTCACAAACACATCTTCCAGGCGAATCATCTGCAACGAAGATGCAGCATGCGGGATGAAGTCCTCCCGGTGGGAACACGACGCATCGAACTCCACACCCAACCTGCCGGCACTGCTTGCTTTAATGGGGCAGTTTATAGGGGGGTTGGGTTTGTCGTCTGCGTCGTCCACGAGATGGTCGTTCCAGCAGGCTTGCACGTTGGGGAAACGGGCGGTGCAGGAACCAAAAGAGGGGCAGGGCGGGCCGTGGCAGCCCAGCTTGACTGCCCAGTTGGATTCGCCGGAGGCGCGGTCAAATGAGCCACCTGAACTGTCATTTGAGCTGGGGAAGTCGGCGGGGGGACTCGCGTGGAGAGGGAATCGCTCAAAGAAGCCCATCATAACGTTAGGCAGGTGAGAGGTGTCGAGAGGAAAGCCCAGCGGACGGGTCACGAGGTTAACTCGCTCTGGATGGGTCCTGGTGTGTGGTGGGTAGAGAAAGAGAGGGAGAGTGGGAGAGAGGAGGGAGGGAGAGAGGGAGAGAGGGAGAGAGGGAGGGAGGGAGAGAGGGAGGGAGGGAGAGAGGGAGAGAGAGAGAGAGAGAGAGAGAGAGAGAGAGAGAGAGAGAGAGAGAGAGAGAGAGAGGGAGTCCATGAGTGATAAGGGACCGGGGAAACGAGAGGGGAGAGAGCCCAATAGCAATGAAGCGCCCACCTGAAGCGCTTTAGCATCCACCTGAAGCGTCTTGGCACTCACCTGAAGCGTCTTGGCACTCACCTGAAGCGTCTTGGCACTCACCTGAAGCGTCTTGGCACTCACCTGAAGCGTCTTGGCACTCACCTGAAGCGTCTTGGCACTCACCTGAAGCGTCTTGGCACTCACCTGAAGCGTCTTGGCACTCACCTGAAGCGTCTTGGCACTCACCTGAAGCGTCTTGGCACTCACCTGAAGCGTCTTGGCACTCACCTGAAGCGTCTTGGCACTCACCTGAAGCGTCTTGGCACTCACCTGAAGCGTCTTGGCACTCACCTGAAGCGTCTTGGCACTCACCTGAAGCGTCTTGGCACTCACCTGAAGCGTCTTGGCACTCACCTGAAGCGTCTTGGCACTCACCTGAAGCGTCTTGGCACTCACCTGTAGCGTCTTGGAAGAAAGTAGCCCAGCTCTTTCTCAAACTGGCTCACTCTCCCCACCAGACGGGGTCTCGAGGCTTGGCTGCTGCTGGCTGAGGGGACGAAGAGGGGGAGACGAGGGGCATGGGGACGAGGAGACGGGGGACGAAGGGAGGGAGACGAGGGGCAGGGGGACGAGGAGACGGGGAACGAAGGGGAGGTGAGGGCAGGGGGACGAGGAGACGGGGAACGAAGGGAGGGGGACGCATGCCACATTTGTTCCTGAGGAGGGTGAGACGAGGAGGCATATTATCACAGCTGAAACGACTGGTCCGATACTTCTGTGCAAGCCCATTAGGCTTGCAATCCTACGTGTGATGGAAGGTTCGGCACCCGATCAACTCGAAATTGCTACCACTTCTGCTAGAAGCGCACACAGGTACACAGGTGCAACACGGGGTGGAAGGCGATTCCAAACACAAGGGCAGCCAAGAGCAAGCGCAAGGGCAACCGTACTCTGGTATTCCGAGACGGATTCTCTCTCTGTCGATCCGCGGACGAGAATCGTGAAAGAGAGGGCAACAGCCAGGCAGATCGGCCAGCAAGCTGTAGCTCCCATCGTGGCCCGACAGTCTGGATGCTAACAACTCAGCTTGGAAATGCCAGCGGCGTGGTAGTACTACTATCACTGGTGCGACCGGAAAACGAAAGACAATCTCAGTTCCTGGGACGCTTCAAGAGACTACTACTCCTAGCAGTAGTACTACGACTTGCTACTGTATCTCCCTGCCTCGGAGACGGAGGCCACCGAGGTCCTCATCGAAGGAGTTGCGGTAGTCTCCTCAGGAGACTGCCAGGTGCGGTACTTGGTCCGCTGCCAGTCCCCCTCGCCGCGGCATCAACCACCCGCAGTCTGCAGTCCGTTCGCCCCAACTGCATCCCTTGCGCTGACGCGCAGAGAGACAGCGGAAACCAAGGTTCTGCCGCTGCCCCCTCTCCACCTCCACCCTTCTTTGGCTGCCGGCCTTCCAGCAGTTGGGGTGAGTTGGGGGAATCACGTGAGGAGTCCTCACATCTGGGCGCGATGCGACTTGACCCATCGCGCGGACTGCTTAGTACTTGCACCCAGTGGCAGCCTAAACACCTCCGCTCTCCGCTCTCCGCTCACCTCAGTCGTGTGGTGGCCAGCGCTTGAGCTGAGTTGCTGGATGCGCCATGGTCCTAAACAGCTCGAAGTTGCTTGGCCCATGCGCGTGCTCACGCATCCGCCGGAGTCGTATTGCGCCCCCCTTTCCCCATGTGCCAAAGAAACGACCCACGGTATACCCCCCCTCCCCGAGGGGTCGGAGTCCGGTTGCGCTCTGGCGCTCTTAGCGCTCTTGCGCTCCCAGTGGGAGAGCGCCGCACCCACTGGTGGCCTTCAAGTTGGATGGTACTGCACTGTAGCATCACCCCCCGTCAGTTCTTTGTCTGTACCTTCTGAACTGCCGGCTGAATCTAAGCGCTCGTGCCCTAAATTCTCAAGTACACAACATACTCGCATGCTATACCACCTCGCACCTCTGCATGGAAAATGCCGTGTAACGGAATAGCTCCGTTGGTTCTGTGTGCGGAATGTACTGTATTCCCTGAGGAAAAGTCAAGCAGGTTGCTGTACCCTTGTTGCCCGAGTCAGTCACGCCTCGGTTCACTCACAAAAGCTTTTCGGATCACTTCTGTTTCTAGCACGGACAACCGCACCCCCGTTTCTAGAACATGGCCCGCACTGTTCCCAGAGAAGACAACGGCAACAGTGGAACTTGCCAGCCATGACAGCATGTCATATTTCGTCCGCCGGGTATTTTGGAAACTACAAAGTTAGCCCCCGGGCATTTCGAAAAGTACAAATCCAGCCCCCCGTCTCAATCCGCGTATGCCAAAGCGGTAACATTCCAACATACTTACAATCCCATTATTCCCATGGCGAGGTGCGCGACGTGTCGGGGACGCTTTCAGTTCCAGCCGCCCAAAAACATTGGGTGATTGACTCGGGCAACAAGGGTACGTGCGGAAACGATCGTTCCTCGGTGTGAGTGGACGCGCAGGTTCTCGCAACAACAAGGGGCGGTGTTTGACAACACATCATATTCTAGTGGTGCAAGCTCCGCGGATGTTGGATTCAGCACCCAGTGCATATCCCCATGCGACCCAGGCAAAAATGTTTAAAACGCTTACCAGGTTATAGGAGCTTCGTCGTTTCTACACTGTATAGGGGCGGGGAGCCTGTCTTATGCACCGACCATGTCCACGTAGGCACGTCGCACGGTTTCGCAGCGAGTTTCAAAGCTCGGTTTCATTAGTGCACGTTATTTTGGCCATCCCAACAACAACCCAATTGAAACGCCCCGTTTTTCCGGCCATAGGCCGTATCTTGAACGACACCACTGCGCAATGTCTGAGTGCCGCAAAGTTGAATGCTTGGTTGAGTACTCACAAATAGCGATTTTCTGTGCCATTGTGAATGCAGCCCGCCGTATGGGCCCCATTTGGACGTCGTCCGGCGCGCTCTACAGTAATGAAAAATTGTGTTCCTAAATACGTCCGACAATGGGCTAATCCGTCACCGATAATCTCACGTTGCGGCTGTCGGTTCCCTGTATTGCTTGTTGTGATAAAAAAGAAAAGGAAAGAAAACCTGGAGCGGTGTCTGCTCAAGATCGACGCCTGATTGGTTGATGGCACCCCGCTGGCGATACGCGATTGTGTGCGAACTGTTCGCATGATGTGTGGTGACAATTTCGGTTTCAACGTGCCGATGCTGGCGACGACACTTGATGGCTACGATGTGTTGCTGGGACGAGATTAGCTTCGGCGACACAATCCACAGATCGATTGGACGACAGGCGACTGTACAGTCAAGTGTGCGAACGGTCGGCAGTTACTACCAACATGGCAAGGAGCAGACCCGGCAACGACACGCGTCAATGCGATCACTTAAAGAGTACGACACCGTTCCACCAATTTCCCTTTTCCATCCTTCCTTTCTATTTCATTTCTCTTCTTATCCTGATTCTTTTGGTCTTTATCTCATCTCATTTGGTTTCCTATTCCTCATTTTCCACTATCCTTTGGTTTATCCTGTTATTATAATTATATTACCGACCAGGCAAGGGATGTACTGGCGCGCTATATCTAGCGTAATCATGTCGTAATCCCTTGAAGCCAATAGCCTTGCGTGACTATACACATGGTGATTCTATTTCTAGAAGGGTCTATTCCCTTTGGATAGGATAAACCTGGTTACCTGATGTACTGTGGAAGTATAAAAACACCTTGTATTGATTGATATTAAAAAATTGAGCAAACCTCATTCGATCATGTGACAATCACGCTGACACGCGCGGTCAAGAAAGGCGCGGAATTGTAGCCCGTCCATCTGAAGGAATCAACAGACGACGATCAATCGACCAACATCGACAAGCTTTGCGCAGCAGTCCCCGAAGATCAGGCGCAATTGATTCGTCAATTCCCATATATTTTTCCAAACGATCTGCCAAGTGGCTTGCAGCCAGAACGCCCTCAGGACTATCGGATCGAACTCGAACATGGCGCGCAACCAACTATCCGGACACACTGGCTGCTGACGCAACCCGAGCTCTAGGAACTAGGGGACCAGCTAGACTACTTGCTGGCAAAAGGATTCGTTCGACCGAGCACGTCCACGTTCGCATCCCTGATCTTGTTCACACCCAAGACAGATGGGGGACTCCGAATGTGCATCGATTATCGTGCCCTGAATCGGATTACGATAAAATCTCGCTACCCAATCCCGCGTGCGGACGAACTGATCGACCAGCTGCAAGGCGCTCGCTATTTCTCGAAGATCGACCTTCGCGGCGGTTACCACTCGATTCGGGTCTTCGCCAACGACTGCCACAAGACCTCGTATCGTACTCACTACGGGAGTTACGAATACACTGTCATGTCGTTCCGGTTAACGAATGCCCCCTCGACATTCTAGCCGACGATGAACGGGGTATTCCGCGATCTGCTCGATAAATGTGTGATAATTTATCTGGACGATATCCTTATTTACAGCACGGCACGGGAGCAGCACTTAAAGGATCCGAAAGCGGTTTTTCAGCGCCTGCAGCAGAATCGTCTGATCACCAAAGGCGCTAAGTGCGAGTTTTTAAAAACCGAACTGGAGTTTTTTGGGCACATTATTTCGATTGAAGAAGTGAAGATTGACCCTCGCAAAATTCGGGCGATTCAGGAATAGAAGCCGCCGACCAACCTCCCGGAGAAGCAATCGTTTTTGGGGTTCGTCAATTACGTGTGCCGGTTTATACCCAACATGGCGGGGTGAACTGGGGCACTAAATAACCTACTTCATAAGGGCGTTGATTATCAGTGGGGGGAGAAGCAGCAAGTTGCATTTGACGGATTAAAAAATGTTTTAATCTCGCTACCGGTACTTCAGATTGCTGACCCAGACCGATCGTTCGAATTCGTGACCGACGCAATGGATATCGCTATCGGAGTAGTACTCCTACAGGATATTGGCGACGGCCTTCAGCCAATTGCGCACGAATCGTGAAAGTTGCTGTCGGCCAAGCGAAATTATCCCATACACGACAAAGAAATGTTGGCGATTGTGCACAAGTTCAAGATCTGGCGATGCTACCTGACGGGAGCCGACATGACTGTACAAACAGATCACAAATCCCAACGTGACTATTTACCCACGGATATTCGACCGACCCTTTTTTCGTAAACAACAGCCACCAGCAAGTCACGACTGCGCGGGGAGCCTATTACAGTATGTAAAACCGGGAACGAAACGAATTTGGGTTCTGAGTTATCGTCTACTTCGCGAATTACTAATTCAAGAAGTCCACGATTCGAAATTCTCGGGACATTTCGGGGTTGACAAGACTCTGAAGGCGCTGCAACGGTTTTATTACTGGCCGGACATGATCTCGGATGTGCAGAAATACGTGGGCGCGTGTCCGACTTGCTAGACAATGAAATCATTATGCCAACGGTCACCAGAACTGTTGCAACCCCTCGAGCCACCCCAACGATTTTGGCAACACGTGACAATGGAATTTGTTAATGGCCTGCCACCCGAACCAAGTGGTGACGGCGCGGTTCTAATCATCGTCGACCGCCTTACGAGAATGACTCACTTCGCGCCATGTCGCACGACGATCAGAGCCAAAGAACCGCAAGTCTGTTTATGTCGGCCGTCGTTCGCCTGCATGGTATCCCTATGGCGATCATCGGCGACAGAGATCCGAAATTCACCTCACGCTCTGGCAAGACATGTGGAACCGATACGGCACCCACCTACTGTTCTCATCCGCCTATCACCAACAAACCGACGATCAGACCGAACGGACAAATCAGACCATGGAACAGCTGATTCGCGCGAACTGTCCGGATATCACAAGATGGGAGGATTCGTTACCCATGCTCAAGTTTTCTTACAACAACACACTCTCCGCTACGACCAATCATTCGCCCTTCTTCCTGAATTACGGAATGGATCCGACGGTACCCATTTCCATCAACGTCGAAAGCCAAGTCCTCCGCTCGCAGCAGTATGTCGAAGACCTTCAAACCGCCCGCACGAAAGCCATCGAATTTATCTGAAAAGCCAATGTTACTGCCCACCAATACGCCGACCGCCACAGATGCGATATTATATTGACTGCAGGGAAACTAGTCCTTCTCGACACCAAAAACCTTCGCCTACAGATACCGCCAAAACTTTGACCCTGCTACTGTGGACCCCTTAAGATCATCAAAATGATCACGCCAGTAACCGCCCATCTCCGCCAGCCCGACAATTGGAAAATTCATAATTCCTTCAACGTCAGCCTCCTTCGTCCTTTTGTCGCCGACACATCCAACGTTGCCCAACAGCCGATTGCCCAAGATCTACGGCCAGCCGAAGAAACGCGCATCGAGCCAGCGAAGATCCTGAGCCACCGCGTACGCATCAACGGTCAGGAACGACATGTTGACTTTCTGATATGATTGACTCATCGTACCGGCGAGGACGACACGTGGGTCCTCTCTGTAATCCATGATGATTTATCCCGCAAGCACGTCGCAAACATAGACCACCTTTCGCTAGAGGGGGGGGTAGTGTAAGGAATTTTCCATTCCTTAGTGCGCCACGCCACTAACGCGTACCCCAATTCCACACGACACCGACACCTGCCCTAGCTTTGGCCCGTACACGCCACGCTGAACCGTTCCACGTCACTCCGAAGCGATCCGCGTCTTCGGATGCCTTCGTCGAATCTGTTCGATCACACGGCTAGGATTGCTCTGGTGTCCCTATATCTTGTTTTGTCATTCCATTGTACGACATTCTGTTATTCTAAACCTCGACATTCGATTCCGCGCTACTCTGGTGAAGCGCTATGGATACAAATCGTTAGAGTATAGAATAATGAAAAAATGGTCCTAATAAGTTACATCAACGTTTAAGTTCACATAAACATTTTTTTTCTGTATTTTTATGAAGACCATATGGTCCATTATCCGAGAGATTACGGGATAGCGAGTCACTCGACAGAGCATCCATAGCGCTTGGCAAAGCTCCGTGCTTTTCTGTGCCCGAGTTTGCAAGTTTTGTTACCAGACGGGGTTTCCGTTCGGAACTCTGGCTGTGTAAGAAATTTTCCATTCCTTAGTGTGCCACACCACTAACGCGTACCCCAACCCCGCACGGCACCGACACCTGCCCTAGCTTCGGCCCGTACACGCCACGCCGAACCATTTCACGTCACTCTGAAGCGATCCGCATCTTCGGATGCCTTCGTCGAACATGTTCGATCATACTGCTATGATTGCCCTGGTGTTCCTATATATTGGTTTGTCATTCTATTGTACGACATTCTGTTATTCTGAACCTCGACATTAGATTCCGCGCTACTCTGGTGAAACACTCGGGGGATGCAAATCTTTTGAGTGTAGAATAATTGCACATGGGTCCTAACACCTTTTTCTCGTATTTTTATCAAGACCATAGGGTCCATTACCCGGGAGATTCCGGGATAACGAGTCACTCGATAGAGTATCCATAGCGCTTGGCAAAGCTCCAAGCTTTTCTGTGCCCGAGTTTGCGAGTTTTGTTACCAGACGGGATTTCTGTTCGGAACTCTATCCTGGCCTGCAGTTACCCGAGCGCGCCCTAATAGCATGTTCAGAGCGACCGAAGTCGGATTTTTCACAGCGTCGTTGTCGTTTCACCGCATCTTATCTTACCCGACGCACAGAAACCGATCAGACGTATCAAACCGTTGCTACCTCATTACTGTCGGAGCACACTGATCACGCTCTACCCTGGCCGGCAGTCAGGTGGCCCAAATTTCAACCATCTCCCTTCAATTCGACTTGGCCCCTTACTCCCCCTTCCGAAGTTCTTCCCACTTGCATTCCTTCGAAGTTTTTCCCTAACAGTGTTAGACGTTCTAAGTCGCCGCGCTGCCGTCTCCCATGTCAGCGCACCAGCAGCGCACGTCTCCCCATGTATCAGCCACGTCAGGTGCGCCTGGCGCCGCCAGTGCTCTCACTTGAAATGGGTAGGGCGGGGTGGGGTGAGGGGAAACCGACCATTGTCATCCCCGTGCGCCATTCCGCGTGCGCCCATTCACGAGGGGGTCACCTCGCCACGACACCTTTGGGATACTTTTATCACTCAGTTGCTGGAGGTTGCGCTCCCCACTTGCCAGGACGGCGAGTCCCCGTCCGCGCGCGCTTCCCATACAGTAACTAGTGGTTTCTGCGGACAAAAGCAGTTACTGGCGAGCTCAATACAAGTGACTCAGCTATGCTGCTCTAGTCCTTGCACGTGAAGCCGTCTTTGCACCCACTGTAGCAAAGCCGGCAGTCACCAACCCAACACCAACCTGAAGCATTCCATTCCCGCGCCCCAGTGTATAGTGGTTTGGTCAGATCATTGATCGATAAAACTCCAAGGGATCGAGGACTTTGCTGTTATCAAACTCTCTCCTACTGAGCAGCCTCGTCCTGCCACTGTGGGAGAGTACCACTATGCACACTTCATCTCGGAGATGCCTGTCGGCAGTGCTGTTACTAGTAATATGGCTAGTAGCCAGCCACGCGTCCAACGAGTCCGCCAGTGGCAGCGGCGATCCCAGCTTGGTAAGCAGCTTTCAAAGAGCCTGCTTCAGACTCTGAAGCTGTTGGTGTTTCGCAACGGCACACTGGCTTAACAATCACTGGGCGTGCACTTTTTCCTACACGTGAACCTCCCCCTCACATGTGGGGTGTTTTTGGGATGATCGACGCTGTGAAACCGACACTGTTCCGCAGGAAAACCAACTGGTGTTGAGGAGGGGGGCACAATTTTTTCGCGATGGAAGAGGCTTCTAGTAGTCGAGCTTTATTAATTACTCACTCGTGATACTCACTCTAGGTGGAAGACAGTCCAAGGAAGGCGCTTGAACGAAGCCAAGTCGATGTCGCCAATGCATTAAGACTGAACTACCAGGGAAGCTACGGCGCTGATGAGGGGGGCCGTCCCCACGAATCTTCCCCACGGCCGATTCCAACGCCTGTCCCTGAAACGCTCTACGAGGCAAATTTTGGTTCCTGCGGCATTCCAGATGTTGCTGATGAAGAGGAGTGTGTGGCTGGCCTCGCGGGATTTCCCCTGCTCAAGGCGCAGAGTGGCTCACCCATAGTGCGCCAGCTGGCGGCCCTGGCGCACTCGAGCCTGCGCCCCTGGATGGGCATTCCCGGGGTTAGAAAGGGTATGGGTGCACGGGGAATGATCAGCCCTAGGATTCTACACCGTATGGGTGAAATGTACCATGTGAGTGCAGTGCTACTGCTACTAGTATGTACAGTTCATATGTACAGGAACTCTTGCAAGGTTTCTTCCGCTGGAACTTTCTCGTATTAATTTTGCAGAATCCATTATCTCACTTACAAAAAAACAGGTGCTCACTCCCCCCCCCACCTCTCTAACCCACCCCTCTGCCCGCCCCTTCCATGCACAACAAAACATTCAGGTGCTATCGTGCGCTGGTCACGTGCGGATAGTAAACGGCGAGGTCTTCTTCCGCTTCGGCGCGTTCGAGTTTTTCTGGTACCGCATGCGCCGCTTCATCTTCTCCCTCCTCATGATCAAGGAAGCCATCACCCTCTACAAGCTGCACTCCCTCAACGCCGAGTTCTACCTCAGCACCTGCGACCTGCACATCAGCAAGGCTTCCTCTGCCGCACAGCATCGCGCCGGCCTTCCCATTTTCAGCCCGCATGGCGCTCCCGGGAGCATCGACATTCTGTATCCTGACCCTGTGGACTTAAGCGAGACATATTTCAGGAGCGGCGTGGAAGATTCTGTGCCTTGGGCGCAGAAACAGAGTCGTGCCGTGTTTCGCGGGGGGATGACCAACTTTCACGTCAACTATGACAGGCAGTGGCGGGCCAGCCCGCGCTTCCGCGTGCACCGGATGTCTGACGTGAGGCCGGATCTACTGGACGCTAAGGTAGTCCCAAGTTTTGCAAACCCCGGAGTGGAGCCACAATTCTTGAAGAGCCTGCATGCGGATGGGATTGAGATGGGTGACCGTCTCGGCCCTTCTCAGCTGCAGGGCTACAAGTACGAGCTCGATGTGGATGGCGGAACCGGCAGCGGGCGCGTGTGCGGGATTCTGTCGAGCGACCAGATGCTAATCAAGCAATCAAGCGAATACACACAGTTCTTTGACCCGCTGCTGTGTCCCAACAGGCATTTCGTCCCCACACACCGTTACTTCTCCAATTTATACCACCAGATTGAGTGGGCTCGGGATCATGACAAGGCGGCTCAACGGATTGTGAAACAGGCCAATCGGCTTGCGAGCGATGTGTGCACGTGGGAGGGACGCCGCCTCTACTGGGCGATACTCCTAGCCAAGTATGCCACCAGCGCCTTGGAGTCTCCTGCCAGCATCACCCGCCCTGCTGTTTTCAACTGCAGCGTTCACCCGACCCAAAATGACGTGGAAAATAATTCCATCCGCTCCAAGCCAGCGCCATCCGTTTGGCTTCCCAGGTGTGACTCACCAGACGTGGATGCGAACCAGCCACCGTGTACATTCCTCTGCGTGGGGAGAATCCCCCAGCCCAAGTGGAGATGGCTCTCAGCTGACATTCTCAACGATATCGAGGTCTTCAAACCTCAAAACAGCCGGATTAAGTTCGTTGACAATTAGGGGGGTCATTGCCTGTTTGTGCCCTGCTCATTTGTACCTTGGGTTGCAGGGAGATGTCTCCTGGTGATCGCTGGTGGGTGGTGGCTAATGAGGGCGTGTCCAGCGCGTTCATTTTGCCCCAACACGAGTTTTTGACGTTCTTTAAACACGCCGAAATATTGATTCCCCTAAGTGTAAATGTGTTGAGGTACACCTACAGTCTCAACAGCAAAACGCGCGGACATGAGCCCTGCCCGTGTCTCGACAAATGAGCGGGTGCGCAGTGTGCACATAACAGACTAACACGCGAAAACAGCAGGGTAACCGAGTTTCGCCCCGGGAAAGAGGCTCGTCCGCTTTCGCGAACACGCATTATGAGCTGCGACTCCACCCAGGGGGGGAAAAACGGAGGGCTCAATTTCCCCCATGCCAGAGGAAAAAACACAAACACAGGACGAATTCCAATTCAAGTTCCGGTTTTTTCGCCGTGCTTCGCAAGCGTCACGAATATAGGCGTGTTCAAATTATATAAGTTATAATTTAATATAGGCTTGGTAGGTTGTTACTGAACCTTTCTGTAGGGGGTACAAACCCCTCCTTGTACTCCCCTCTCTTCTAATCCAACCCCTTTTCTCTTCTCAACTTTCCTAGCACCTAAAACCTCTCGCCATTCTCATGGCTCCTCCTAGCTCCTAGCTAAACCTTGTGCCATTCTATGGCTTCCTAGCTAAGCTAGTTTCTGACATGGTATCAGAGCAGTTCGTTCCGCGTGGGCCTGCTCCTCGCGTTTCCGCTGCGTGCTCGTTTCTCTCTCTATCTCGCGCTGCCATGGCGGCCGCGTCAAGCTGCTGTGGCCGCGTCGTCGTGCCGCGGCGCCGCCGTCGACGTCCATGGCGCCCGCGTCCAGCTGCTGTGGCCGCGCCGTCGTGCCGCAGCTCCGCCGTCGCGTCAAGATGCTGTCGCGACGTGACGGCGCCGTCACGCTGCCGCGGCGTCTACGCGACAGCGCGCGGTCGGCGTAACGGCGACGTCGTGCTGCCGTCGCAACGTCGACGCCCCGCTGCGGCATCGACGCCGCTCCATGACGGCGTCGTCGGGCTGCAGCCGGCCGCGTGACGCTTGTGGCGCCGCTAGACCGGCCGCCCGCATGTCAGCCTGTGGCGCCCCCCCCCCCCCCCACCCCCCTCCTTCCCTTGTGCCCTCTTCCATTCCGCAGACGACGGCTGACTCCCGCCGGCCGTCCCACCGTCGCGGGGCCTGGCCACGTCACCGAGAGGTGCGGGTGCCGCCGCCGCTGCCGCTGTTGTCGAAGCCGCCGCCGCCGCCGCTGTCGCCGCTTGCGTCGGGGCCACGCAGCCGCACGCCGCCGCCGCCGCCGCTGTCGACACTGCCGCCGCTGCCGCCGTCGCCGCCGCAGCCCCTGCGGTCGACGTCGCCGCCTCACGCGCCGTGGGGTCGACCGACCTAGAGTCGCTGTCACTGTGGCTGGAATGGGGGTGCTAGGTTAGGGGGTGTGGGTGTGTGTGGGCATGTGACTACCAAGCCTAGGGGGTGTGTTCAAATTATATAAGTTATAATTTAATATAGGCTTGGTAGGTTGTTACTGAACCTTTCTGTAGGGGGTACAAACCCCTCCTTGTACTCCCCTCTCTTCTAATCCAACCCCTTTTCTCTTCTCAACTTTCCTAGCACCTAAAACCTCTCGCCATTCTCATGGCTCCTCCTAGCTCCTAGCTAAACCTTGTGCCATTCTATGGCTTCCTAGCTAAGCTAGTTTCTGACAAGGCGTTCTATTTTTCGCCAGCCAGGATTTGGACATTTCTGCCATGTATATAAATTGGGCACGATTTTCATTCGGTTCGGAAACGTGCGGCCCACGTCTGTGGGCACGTTTGGAGGGTGTCTGCCAAAGCCGTCAATTTATCGTGCGTGTCCGAAGGGAAACGAAATTTCAGGTTACCAGGTCAAAAGTTCGTACCTGATATGCAATGTGAATATTAAACGAACGTGCTGGACACGCCCTGGCGGTATCCTTGCATGCACAACTTTGAAGACATTTTGTTATGAGTGGGAATGGGGCAATCGACTGAGTCATGGAAATACAACCTATGAATAATGATTGCTCAGCAAGTGACGAACGAACTGGCTAAAGTAGGGCTCGTACGTGTTAGGGCGAGAACCTGGGGACGTGAGGTGAGGTGGCTTGGAAGGATGGTGAGGGTGTCGGAACGCGACTCGGGAAGGTTTGGGCTGACAATCGAGGCCGAACCTGCGGGGTCGAGGTCCTCGGGTATACGCGCTGTAATTCAGTGCAGTAAGGAATTGTAATTCCCTACACATTTGCTCATGGAAACGGATGGAAACTGGTAATTGGAGGGAAGAACTGTTAAAGCGAGGGTCTCAAGAAGCAAAAAACCAAACCCAAAGGTTTTGGTATCGGGTGTTGGGCTGAGAAGAGCCCTAGGATCTTTTCAGAGGCTAAGTCCCACTTGTATGAAATGCTTGCGTGGTGTAGCGGACGTGTTGAGTAGTTGAACCCTTGCACTAGTACCGTATTCCCCCGTATATAATGTCGAGAAGAAAATTGAATGTTCAGGATAGAGGGAGAGAACAAGGGTATATACCTAAGAGTGTTGTACCCTCTAAGAGGTGACCTTATACAGTCTATACAAATATGTGTTATACATATATTTGACACACCCCCTAGACTGCATAGGGGCAAATCCTGAACAAGCAGCTCAGGGCGGCACTACTAGTCCAGCCACTGGGAAAGGACACAAGTCCAGTCTGAGTACATATATAGATATATATATATATAGGACAGTACAAAGTCAAGGTCCTAGCAAGTGAGAGGCTACAGGAACTAGACCGAGCTGTACACAGTGCCGCTGATGATCTTTAGGCGCAAACGCCTTGGTAAAGATATCAGCTGTGTTGGCACCAGAGGCCAAGTGAACTACGCGGGCCTGGCGACGCTGCTGTAGCTCGCGCATGAGGAAGTACCGCAAGTGAATGTGCTTCGCTCTGCCCTCAAGTCGAGGCTCCTGACACAGGAGTATCATGGCCCTGTTGTCAGCGTACAGGACCGGGGCAGAGCTAGGCCGCTCACCTAAGTCTGTGAGCAAGAAGGTCAGCCAGCGGAACTCCTGTGCCGCCATGGCACCAACGTAGATCTCAGCCTCACAGCTCGACTGAGCAACAGACGACGAGCGAGTGGATCTCCAAGAGATAGCACTCGAACCAAGGCTAAAACAGTAGCCCTGCGACGACCTGAGCGTCTCAGAGTCGTCTGCCCAAGAAGCGTCTGTGTGCCCAGTGAGGACCACTGGCCTGCGTCCTCCTAACACTAACCCCATGCCTGATGTACTTGCTAGATATCGCAAAACCCTCTTAGCTGCCGACCAGTGCTGTGGTCGGTGTCTGCCAGTGGCCACAAAGCGAGCGGGTATGCGAGATCTGGGCGAGTGCAGATCATCAGGTACATGAGGCAACCCACCAGCTCTGCGTAGGGGCCGCTGGGCTCTACTGACTCCTCAGGAACAGGAGCGGAAAGCCCGTGGTCTACAGGTAGAGGTGTGGGCTGTGCAGAGGAGAACTGAAGACCGAACCTCTGAAGGACCTGACGCACCAAGTGTGACTGGGTCAGAGTGATGGTGCGTGCTGCTCTGTCCCTAGAGATCTGCAGGCCAAGATAGCGACGCAGTTCTCCAAGATCAGTGCAGGTGTGTCTCTTCAGCAGCTCAGTCTTCACAGAGGCCAGTGTGTCCCTGTCAGGAGTAGCGAAGACCAGGTCGTCTACGTAGACAAGGATGTAGAACGGAGTCTGGCCGGAACGCACAAACAGTGAGGGGTCAGCAGAGGATGGAAAGAACTGCAGGTCTGCTAACGTGGCACGTAGCGTGTCGTGGCACGTAGCGTGTCGTGCCACTCGCGGGGAGCCACTGGTACCAGTGAAGCCCTGTGGTCGGCGCATGTAGACCTGCTCGTGTAGGCTGCCCTGAAGAAAGGCAGTAGAGAAGTCGAGGGAGTGAAGCTCGTAGTCACGTTGTGCTGCTACGTGTAGCAGTGCCCGAAGAGTGGTCATCTTCGGGGTCGGGGCGAAGGTCTGGAAGAAGTCAACCCCCTCGCGCTGACTGAAACCTCTGGCCACGTAGCGCGCCTTGAAGACAGGTGGCTCTCCAGGGGGGCGCTTCATCTTGAAGAGCCACCGACCATCGACTACGTTCACCCCAGGCGGGGAACTGCGTCGACGTAAGTGCCAGTGGACCTCCAAGATGCCATCTCTTGCTCCATGGCAGCTATCCATTGAGAGGCCCAAGGTCCCGAGGTGGCCTCAGCGTAGGTGCGAGGGGTCGGGATGTCGAAGGCGTCTGGGTCACCCTCAGGGACTAAAAGCATGGAGCAGAGATGGGGAGCAGCCTCGGACAGGAAAGCCAGCTCGTACTGCCTGTCCTCTAGGACGTCACTGCCAAGGGCAGGAGCACCCCCGACGGACGGAGGACGGGCAGGATCAGAGACCAGAGCGGTAGCGTAGTCAAGGCGGCGGGTAGAGGCGAAGTCAGCGACAGCAGCGACAAGCGCGTCAAGGCGCCAGACAGGAACAGCAGGGTCGGTAACAAGAGAGGCAAGGACCCGAGGGACAAGGGGACGAGCAGCACGGAGGTAGTCAGAGAACGGAGGAGGTGCAACAGCAAGGGACGAGGGAGGAGGGGACGGGAGGAGAGGAGGACGAGACCGGCGGCGACGGCTGCTGCGGCGGCGACGACGGCTGGACCGGAACTCTCGGACCAGCAGAGGCAGATCGACCGTCGGCAGAACACTCAATAGCAGCACCCCCAGAACCAACACCAGCGGCACCCCCAGAAGCCGCAGGACGAACACCCTCCTCCACACCAGCACCCCCAGGGGCCAAGAGCGGTGGCGGCAGTGGCGGCGACGACTGCGGCGGCGACGGCTGCGGCGGCGGCGACAGCGGCGACGGCTGCGGCGGCGACGGCGACGGCGGCTGCAGCGGGGTCGGCGACTGCGACAGTGGGGGCGGAGGCACCGGGGAAGGGGGACGCGGCAAGGATAGACCGGGGGTACCACCAGAGTCAGCAGACTCCTCAACGGGGACAACCGACGGGAGGGGAGTGACGTGAGAGACACTAGACGGGGCAGGACGAGGCGGGAGAGGGGCAGGGGCTACC